TGTGGACTGTGGCACCTATACACACCCAGAGGCACGAGAGCACACACACAATATAATAATAATATGTGTAATTTAAAAAAAGAATTAAGGGGAGGAGCTGGAAAGATGGCTTAGCCCTTAAAAGCACTTGCTGCCCTTACAGCCTACCTGAGTAGTTCAGTTCCCTGGTCAGGCAACTCACTACTGCATGGAATGGGAAAAGGGAAGAGCAAGGTAGAAAAGAAAAGGGGGGGGGGAGCCAGGAGCAGGCCAGGTTGTAGAAATCCCACCCCTGGGAAGCAGCTGGAAGAGGCTTTGAAAATGCTGCTTTGAAAGCCTTAAAATGCAGAGCAAAGGGCAACCTGGAGAAGCCACTGAAGAGCCAAGGGGAGCTCTCTAGGGTTTGTATGTTTACATATACATTCCTGAGCTGGGCGGTTGGTGGTGCACGCCTTTAATCCCAGCACTCGGGAGGCAGAGGCAGGCAGATCTCTGTGAGTTTGAGACCATCCTGGTCTACAGAGTTCCAGGACAGGCTCCAAAGCTACAGAGAAACCCTGTCTCGAAAAACCACACACAAACAAAGAAAGAAAAAAGAACAAAAAAAACATTCCTATAAAAATCTTTCATTTGAAAACAAAATTTTCTTTAAAAAACAAACAAACAAAAAACCAACCCCCAAAAACAAACAACAAAACTTACAGGGTCTTGTATATTCCAGGATTTCCTTGAATTTTGTTTCTGTGGAGTAGGCTTGAAAGTCCTTTTTGTTTATTTGTTGTTTGTTTTTTGGGACAGGGTTTCTCTAACATCTCTTGCTGTCCCAGAACTCACTTTGTAGACCAAATCTTGAGCTTCTGATCCTCCTGCCTTCATCTCCTGAGTGCTAGAATTATAGGTATGTGGCACCAGGCCCTGTTTACACAACACTGGGAATCAAACTCCAGGCTTTGTGCGAGCTATTTTAAATATTCAATAAACTAAAGTTTTGGTGCTTAAACTGGATTTCCTTACAAGATCTAAATCAAATATGTAAATTCAGATTATTTCAGGGTCAGAGTTATGGCTCAGTGGTTATGAGCTCTGGCTACTATTGCAGAGGATCTGGGTTTGTGTTCTCAGCACTGGCATAGTGACTCACAGCTACCTGTAACTCTGGTTCCAGAGGGTTTGACATTCTTTTCTGGCCTCTCTGGGTATCAGACACCATGCTAAAGACTTAATGCACATAAGACAAAATTAAATTTAAAAAACCTTTTTACAAAAATATAATTTCTACTTGCTGATTGATACTTTGTTAATTTAGACTTGGCTAGTCAAATTTACCTACACAGTCTATTTGCAAACTTGAATTATTAAATCTGCTTGGACATTTTAAAGTGTTTATAACTTGAATCTGCCTGGTTACTATAAGCAACTCAAACTTCTAGCAAGGTTGATAGCACTGGAAAAATGGAAGTCTTTCTAAGCCTTTAAAACCTGGAAGTCTTTCTAAGCCTTTAAAACCTAATAGCAAATAGATTATGCTAACTTCAATTGTTAAGTAAGATATTGTCAACATCTTGATTCTTTCATTGTTTTTACTTTACATATATGGGTACCTGCATGTATGTAAGTACACCATGTGTGCCATGGGAGGACAGATCCCCAGATCTTTCCTTATAGACAGTTGTGAGCTAACATGTGGGTGCTGGGAACTGAACTCTGATCCTCTGCAAGAGCAGCCAGTGTTCTTGACTGCTGGACCATCTCTCCAGCACCTCCATTCTTTTTGTAGTCTTACTCTAGTTTTTAAATCTTTGATCTTAATCTCACATCATTTAAAACTATGAAACTGGGACTTGAGAAATTTTCCAGAGAACCCTGGGTTTGATCTCCAACATCCACGTGGTGGATCACAACTGTCTGTAATTCCAGTTCCAAGGAGATCCAATGCTGTATTCTGCCCTTAGTGGTCCCCAGACACACAAATGGTAAGTAGACATACATGCAGGCAAAACACTGATACACATCAGATAAATAAATAAGCAAATATATATGTTGATTTTTCCAGACAGGGTTTCTCTGTATGATCCTGGCTGTCTTAGAACTTGCTGTGTAAAACTAGAGATCCACATGGCTCTGCCTCCCTCCCAAGTGCTGGAATAAAAGGTGTGCGCCACCAGCCTGGAATAAATAAATTTCTTTTCTTTTTTTTGTTCTTTTTGTGTGTGTGTGTGTTTTTCAAGATAGTGTTTCTCTATATACCTCTGGCTGTTCTGGAACTTGCTCTGTAGACCAGGCCGGCCTTGAACTCACAGAGACCCTCCTGTCTCTGCCTCCCAAATGTTGGGATTGAAGGTGTGCACCACCACTAGCCAGCTATAAATAAATTTCTTAACGCTGTGCATCACAAGGCTGTTTTGTAATGCACTCAAACATGCTGTGTGTTCTCTCAAGTGTAGAAATTATTAGAGATTAGACCAGTGCTCACAGGCTTTCTAAACTTCATGATTCACACTGTGGCTTACTGTTCTTTCGAAGCTTTTAAAATCACATTCTCCCAACTCTTGTAATCTATGGTGGGCTCTTAATATTGGACAATTTTCCTTTGTCCAATTTGAGGCTAGAACCCAGGTGTGGTCAAATCCCACTTAAGAATGGCCAGTCTACCACCAAGTGGAAGGGATCCCTGTGTGTCATTGACCCCCAGGGTGTTTTGCTCAAATTCCATCTCCCCATACTGCAATAAATATACAACTTTTTTTGTTTGTTTGTTTGTTTTTTTTTTTTTTTTTTTTTTTTTTTTTTTTTTTTCCAGACAGGTTTTCTGTATAGCCCTGGCTGTCCTGGAACTCAATCTGTAGAACAGGCTGGCCTCAAACTCCGGAGATCTGCCTGTCTCTGGGATTAGAAGCATGTGCCACCACCACCCACCAAAACTTCTGGAATTCTTTCAAGTCCTAGCCTTAATCACCTCTCATAACTTGTTTCAGTATTGACTGCCTGATTTGAGTTCATTGGCTCTGCCTCCCTGTCCAGGTTTCCCCGTACCAACTTTCTAACTGTTTGACTGCCTCACTGATGCCCTTCCTGCTTAGTTGACGTCTCGTGTTCCACATTCTTCGCGTCTGACTCTCAGCTACATGTCTGGAGTCACTTACAAATTACAGTTCTGTGATAGCTGGTTAGCAAGCATGTTTACCAAATAACAAGCCTATGCAAACTACCTTTGGGCAGGAACAGAGAGCTTGGTCCTCACGTTGCCCTGGGTATTCTGCCTCTAGGTCTGACTGGTACACCAGCCATGCCAAAGAACCATCCATCCCTCACACCCATAGTACCCATGGAGCCCTTGCTCTTATTGCTCCACTCCCTCTACTTTACACACCAACTTCATGGCGGAATGAACTTAGGTGTGTGTGTGTGTGTGTGTGTGTGTGTGTGTGTGTGTGTGTGTGTGTAGGAAAGGCTTTTTAAAATTTCAGCCACCCAATACTTTGAAGGCTTCCTGACACCCTTCTTCAAGGTTTTCAGCCATAGTCACCATGGAAGGCCACATGCAGCAGTAATCTGATTAAGCCATTGCCTGAGTCCTATCCTTCTGCCTTGTCTGCCCTTGAGCCAGGTTCTTGACCTCCTGGCATAGTGGACCATGTCACATTTGCTGTGTGTAGAGGGTGTCATGAAGAAGCTGTCTGTTGTCACAGTGAAGAGTGACACTGGAGTCAGAATGACTAGATCCTGCTCACTGATGTCTGTCTAGCTGACCTTGTACATGGCACCCCACCTTTCTCAGCCTCAGTTTCTCTGGCTGAACAACAGCAATAATAGCACTATCACCAGCTCAACTACAACAATGTTACACTGGCGTTGGCAGCTTACTTTATGGAATTCACCCATGTTTTCAATTCAGCAAGTAGTTATTGAGCACTTGCTGTATACCTGCCATCCCCCAAATAAGAAAAATATATCATATTGGGGTAATAGAACATGATGGCTTGATAGGTAATGGAATAGCCTTTCTGAAGAGGTGACACGACCACTGAGACCTAAATGATAAAGAGGCAGAGACAGTCAATGAAACCCCTGTGAAGGAAAACAGTCCTGGCTTAGAAAGGACGGAGGTCCATGTGGTCAGAGCCAAGTGCACAGTGAAGACAGGGCTGCAAGATAGGAGTGGAGAGGGACACCAGATACACCAGGGGGAAGGGGGGAGGGGAAGAGTAGTGGCTAAAGACATTAAGAAAAGGACTGACTAGACCCAGTGACATACAGAATCACTCAGGCCACCATGGGAGGGTGAGTTGAGAGGAAGCCCAGAGTGCAGTGACCCAGGCAGAGCCCAAGGTGACGGCTGCACAGAGCTGCCCAAGGACGGATGTATTTTGCAAAGGGCAGTCGTACGGTCAGGTGCTGGGTCAAAGGTGGTGGTGTTGAGAGGTGGGAGGCAGTGACTGGAAACCAAGGATGGAGGAACGGTTGTCAGGAGACTGGTCAATACCAGAGCAGGAAGGGGTTGACCTCTCCTTAGCAGAAGCTTGGGAAGGAAGAGTCATGCTCTGTATATACCCTGGGGTATAGGATGGGCTGGCCTCTGGGGATACTTTCCACTTTTCTTCCTCAGACATTTGTTCTGGAGAGGTGTTCAGGAACTCACACAGCAGCTCCCCTGCTCTGCTTCCCCTCCTCCTACAAGAGACAGCATTGAATCTTCCTCCCTTGCCAATTTTGCCCTGGCTCTTGCCCTGGCTCTTGCCCTGGCTCTGGCCCTGGGGAGGAGTGATTACCTTCAGCAATGCTCCTAGAGTAAAGGGGAAGATGGAAGGGATATCACCCAGGTCTATAACTCACCAATCCACCCACTCTGGAGAAGTGGGACCAGTCCCTCCACTCAGGTTTCCCTTGTAACTGAACAGGAGCCCCCTGGGAGACACTAGGTCACAGGCTGGACCTTTTCTAGACAGCTTATCTCCCTGACTTGTCAGGCTGCTCTAGAGGGTTGGGAGGATCTCTTGCTCAAGATGTTTTTGTCTTGCCAGCTGGGATGACAGCAGCTCCGTCAGCAGCGGCATCAGTGACACCATAGACAACCTCAGCACGGATGACATCAACACCAGCTCATCCATCAGCTCCTATGCCAACACGCCTGCCTCCTCCCGAAGAAACTTGGATGTGCAGGTAAGATATGGGATAGGTCTCCTCCAGTGTCCTTACTAGCCCTGGCTTGTGGTGATCAGAATTCCCAGGCTAGTGAAAGGAGTCCCAGTTTTTGACATCTGGCCTCTGTCTCCTCTGCAGGAAAAGGAGACCAGGTAGTGGGCAGTACAGATGGGCAAAGCAGCCGTGCAGTCTTATTTTGGTGTGAGGAGACCCTGTCCCCTCCCTGGACCTCAGTTTCAGTCTAATTTTAAATAAATCAATAGCCAGCAGAAAGTATAGGCGGGACTACCAGACTAGGAGAGAGGGGAAGAGGAAGAGAGAGAGAGAGAGAGAGAGAGAGAGAGAGATTAGTTAATAAAATGCAAGCCTGAAGATCTGAGTTCAATACCCAGAAACCACATTTAAAAAAAAAAAATCTGTGTGTGGTGGTGGACATCAGAATTCCCAGTGCCACAGAGGCAGGACAGGTGGATCCCTGGGTCTCACTGACCAGCCAGTGTGGACTACATAGCAAGCTCCCGGGTTATGAGAGATCCTGTCTCAAAAAAAAAAATGGCAGGCAACACTTGAGGAATGGACACTCAAGGGTGTCCTGGCCTCCACATGTGTGTTCACACATGGTCACACGTACACCCAAGCTCCTTACATGAATGTACAAGCATATATACACACACTTTTTTGAAAATTTAAGATAATAAGCAAGGGGCTGTTGGTTCCTCTGGTGTGGATCCTAGACCCAAGTGTCTCTCCTCTTTGCCACATGAGCCACTGCTGTCTGTGAGCACAGGTCTGCTCTCCAGGGAGTAGAACAAAGGTTAAGAATATTATACTGGGAAGCCAGTATATACCTGTCTGAGGTTGGGAACTGTCTGCCTGTGGATCACATCCCTTGCTATTGTGTGTTGCTTTGTCTACACTAATGACTCTTATTATAAAAAGCATTCTATCTTCTTGTTCTTCTTTTCTTTTCTTTCTTTTTTTTTTTTTTTTGAGACAGGTTCTTCTGACCCTTGATCCCCTACTCTACATCCCGAGTGCTGGGTAACAGGTGTGACTTGATCTTTGCCTTATGCAGCACAGGGATCTGAACCTTGAACTGTGAGAATGTTAGAGACTGCTCTATCCAGTGAGCCATAGCCCTAGGCCCTTTTTCCTTTTGTTCTGGCTGTTGTTTGTGTTTCGTTTATTTGTTTTTGAGAGAGTTTCAATGTGATCCAGGTTGTACTAAAATCCTCCTGCCTCTGCCTCAAATGGACTGAGATCCTATGTTTGTACCACCACATCTGGTTTTAATTTTTTTAAATTGTATTGTTGCACATGAAAACATGTACTTGGTGCCTGAAGGCAAGAAGCTGTTTCTCTGCAGGAGCAGACTCCCTGATACAGGTCCCCTGTGAGCATTATGTAGCGGCAGCCACCAGCCCATTGCATTGCTCTAGGATTTGACATCCCAAATACAGCTCAGTTTTTAGTGGACTCTTTTGGCCCTCACTGTGCTCCTTAGTGGCTGGACTTCACTCTGTTATACTATTTTACTGCAGGCAAAGTATGATATCATCTTAGTGGCTTCTCCAGCACAAGCTATGGCAATTCTGGCATGGGTTAACCATTTGGGGGCTGATGTTTGGGGTGAACTACTGAGAAAGACTGGGAATACCACCCCCTAATCATCAGTGTGTCCTTGCCCCCTCTCTCCCTTCCTACCCTCCCACAGCGTCCTCCTCAGTTGCTTTTTACTTGGTACTGGTAGGGGCCATGTCTCTGTTTCAAAGGAGTCTCTTCTTGGAGGGTAGGACTAAAGAAAAGCTGTGTTGGCAGGGTGGGGATTAATTCTACCCTACAGAAATGTAGCTGCAGAATATCTGTGAAAAGTTTTAGGCATTACTTTTGGGGTCACCTGTTACTTCTTGAACTCTTATTTTAGCTAGAAATTGCAGTAGGTCTGCGCGCGCGCGCGCGCGCGCGTGTGTGTGTGTGTGTGTGTGTGTGTGTGTGTGTGTTTGTGTGTTGTTGTTGTTGTTGTTGTTGTTGCTGTTGTTACCTAGACAACAAGAAGGGGCACAAGATTTGGGGGGTAAATACTCTGTATTCTGACCCAAGTGGTACTTGTGTGAGTATGCTGATTTTCTGGAATTTTTCAGGCTGGGCACTTGAGATTCTGTCCTTTATTGTAAGAACATCACACTTATACAGACTAGAGAGATAGCTCAGTTGCTAAAAGCATGTGTGGCCCTTGAAGAGGACCCGAGTTCAGTTCCTAGCACCATGGCGGGTGGCTCATGCTGCCTGTAACTCTAACTGCAGAGGATTCCACACCTTTTTGTGGACTCTAGCACTTGTATACAGACAGACAGACACACACACACACTAAAAAATAAAACTTTAAATAAAGTAATATTTCATCTACAGGATACACAGACTACTTTCTGACCCACACAAAGCCCTGACCTGGATTTCCAGCACCACATAAATAGGGTGTGGAGACATGTTTGTAATCTCAGCACTTAGGAGATGGAGGCCGGAGGATTAGCAACATCAACCTTGGCTATATAGTGAGATAGTGAGTTTCGGGTCAGCCTGGGCTATGTGATATATGATACAATGTTGTCTCAAAAGTACACACACACTCCTAACATGTGCATTATACCTAAATAAATAGTTATAGTTTGAAAACAAACTCTAAGCCATACTCCCTGAGAATGATCACCAATGGATGATCAGACACAGTTAGCAGCACTCAGCCAGCCTAGGTCCCTGCTGGGTATTAAATATTACTATTATTTTCTTGGTGGTCACTCTGTATTCAAGATAACAACAGCCACCAAGCTTCTAGTCTGCCCTTAGATACAGAGGGGAGGAGTCAAGGAGATTGACCACTTGGGGTAGGCAGTGCATAGGAGGCACAGAGACATCAGGAAATCCTTATGGTACCCCTGCAGGTGATGTGGGATGTTCAGGGGGATCTGGGACACCCAATTGGAATCCCTTCCATCTGCCTTCTACCCACAGGCAGAAGTTGGTTTGCAGACCCTATTGATCCAAATAAGATGGCTTTCTCACACATACATTTGAACTTGGTGGATGCAAAGGCCTTGCCTCTTTGACCAGCACTTTGCTTTCTTCCTGCAGATGTCACAGGGTGCCTTTCAAAGCTACTACACAGATGTCTTAGTCAAGATCAAAAGTAATTTTAAGGGATATGAGGGCTTACTATTCATTGAGTGTGTTATTTGCTCTCTTAAAAATCTACGAAAATGTAAAATATTAAAATGAGAGCAAAAATAGGTCTGTGTAGCAGAAATGCTGGCTGCAGCACTGGCTACCAACATGCCTATTGTCATGGTGCTTTTAAATGGACTTTTCATGACATTCCCTTTGTTCCTGTCCAGGGAGCATCTCAAAATATTTGACTTCACATTCTGGCAGCCTTGTGCCTCCTCCCCCACAGGCTGTCAGGAATGCTAAGGGCCATTACCCCTCTTTGAGTGGATCGAGCCTGGAAGATGTGCCTGCACCCTCCCACTCCTTGGTACGCTCATCGGGGGTCTTGTCACACAATGCTTTACCCTGGGCGAGTGGGCTGCACAGCCCACCAGGCAGGACACATGAGGCAAGAGAGGGCTTGGTGTTCCCACAAGAAACACAGCGTGCCTGCCTCACATCTGAGGTGAAGGGAATTTCTTTTCTCAAAAGCCCAAGGAGCTACTGTGTGTGCTGATGGAAAGAAAGAGGAAAAGGCAGACAGAAAGTGCGATCAATCCTTCACTGGGAGTGAAACTTCCCTGAGGGAGCTGTTTCTTCTGAGACACTGAGGAACACTGAAGGTGCCCCACAAAGCCTTCACGGCTTGTTTGTGGGCACTGGAGCCCCTGTGCTCATGGCTCAGTGTGAGAGACAAAGTCCTTTGAGTGAGACCTGAGCCCCTCTGTATGACTACCTCTAGGACAGCTGGTGAGTTCAAGTGCCAACTGTGGCATCAGAGAGGAGGGTGACATTGAAGTCAAGTGCTCTGGGGTGGAGTTTTTCACCGTGTGATGCGTCCTGGGATGGTCTGGTCAGATTGACTCCTAGAGTCAGTGCCTTCTCATTCACAAAATAAAGGCCACCAGACCTATGTCCTGGAGTATGTCAGCAGCATGCCAAGCTGAACATGCTTCTCCCAGAGCCTGAGCTGGTGAGCTGCTCAGAGGCCCCTCTTTTCTCTCTGAACCTTGCCTGCCTTTCTCTGTCTCCCTCTTGCATCTATGATAACAATTCAAAGGGCAGCATGAAGCATCTTGTTCTCCTGGAACTGTGCTGGCACATAGTGTTTTAACAAACACCCATGCCTGCATGCATTCATCTATACATTCAGGCCTTGGCCATGCAAAGTCTTCCACAGTTTGTGGAAGGCACTAATCCAGGTGTTGGGGGGTAGTGAGCTGCCGCTGCCAAAACTTTCTTTCATTTTTAATGCCTAAAGTTTGTGTTTTTGTTGTTGCTTTTAAACAGTGGGTTAAAAAATACAATTCTTTGTCAGTTTATTTATTTTTTAACCTCCAAAGGCAACAAAATTATGGCTGATGTGGTCAGTGTTGCTGTTCTGTGTGTCCTAGTATCCCCTGGACATCAGGCTATCAGGACGGCAGGCTCAACTTAGCTGCAGATAGTCAGACTGCCATCTGCCTACCTCCCTGGGAGCCACTGCCTCTGACTTTGGGTTAGTTACTTCTCTTTAAACCTATGCTTTCATGGGAGGTGTGTACAACATGAATGACAACTCAATCTCAGAGGATGGGCTGAAAGTGTCTGAGGGTCATAGTGTCTGGGGACACAAGTGGCCTGTGATGTTGCTGTGATTCTCTGTGTTTGGAGGCTCCAACTTAAAGCTCCCCCCCCCCAGCATCTAGGACTGCAGGGGATTCAGTATCTAGATGCTCAGGCAGCTAAAACCCTGTTTTAGGTCTGCAAGATCCAGATGAGGTAAATGCCAAAGACACAGCAGGGCACTGGGATTCTCAGAGCTGAAAAGTTTGGTGAGGAGAGCCTCTCTCTGTTTATGAAATTCTTCCATGCTTAGCTCCTAAGTTCACCACTAGCTCTCTGTTTAGGGCTCTGTTCAATCCCATCTGTTCGATACCTTGTGTAACTGTCTTAGAAATGGGAAGGAACCCAAGGTGAGTGAGTGACAGCAGCCAGTGCTGGAACTCAAGCCCACTGGGCTCTAAAACCAGTGCTCTTCCCCTTTTGGGCCAAACTCCCCTCTCTGGGAACCTTGCCCTCCACTCTGAGGTCCCTCCTAGCTTTTATCTGCCTTCTTCCTACTTGCCTGTTGATGACCAGGGAGACATTCAAAAGCTTCAAAAGAAGGTAGGACCACCAGTGTGCTGATCTGCTGGCCCTCCTATTACAAACTCTGGGAACAGAGAAGCAGACTCTTCTTCCATTTTAACTTCCAAGAGATACCACACCGATGGTTACACATGGCTCCAGAAGGATTTGCTAAGGATGTGTGACTGCAAAACTGTCAAGATGTCCCAGACAAACACCCAGCTATGCAGAAGGAGGTTGGAAGAGTTCTTTTACCCTGTACCAAGTTGGGGGGGGTGATAGTTGGAGGGCTGTTCTACCAGAGAAGAGTGGCCAAACTATGGTCCTGGGCTGGGGACATGTACACTCTCTGTTATTGATGAAACTAGGGGCTCTGGCCTTACGGCAAGACTAAGGCTGCTCTAGACCCGGGCTTGAGATAACCAGACTGCTTGTAGAAGGAGAATCCACTAGGGGTGGGTGTTTTTAGTAGGTATCCTGAAGCATGCAGAAAGGTTACATCTCTTTGGGATTATAGTCCAGGACTGCACTGTACTATAGTGGTTAAATTATGAGCTTGGCAATTGGACAAGTAGCATCCCCACAATGCGCAGTACCTCAGTATTCTGTTATTTCCTCATGGGGTTTTGCTAAGAAATAAATTGAATTTTATTCTCCCCCCCCTCGTGTGTGTGTGTGTGTGTGTGTGTGTGTGTGTGTGTGGTGTCTGTCTGTTTGTCTGTCTGTCTTTGTCACCAGGGTCTCATGGAACCCAGGCTGGCCTCAAGCTTCCTCATCAAGGATGACTTAGAATTTCTTATCCTTCTGTCCCCATGTCCAGAATGCTGAGATTACAGCATGCCATCATGCTGTGTTTCTGTGATGTTAGAGATTGGGGAACCCAGGCATCATGCATGCTAGGCAAGCACTCAGTTGGCTGAGTGATACCCCAAGTCCTGATGCATGTATTTTCTAAATAATTGGAAAATATATTTTTATTGTAGCCAGACATGGTGGTACATGCTTATAGTTTTCACACTTGGGAGACAGAGGCAGGTGGATCTCTTTGCATTTGAGGCCAGCCTGTTACTCATGGAGAAGCTAATCAGGGCTACATAGTGAGATTTATGCCTCAAAAAAACAAAAAAATCCAAAATATCATTATTCCCTCTGTATGTGCATAAACCATGACAAATGCATGGGTCTCGAGGGACAACTTTGTGGAGTCATCGTCTTTCACCTTTATGTGGGTTCCAGGAGTTAACTCAGGCCATCACTACCTTTACCTTTTCAACCATCTCACAGGCCCCTGGTGTACATAATTTTTTAAAGCATGTTATCTTGTGCCTGGAGCACTGTCGTATATAGTAAGCCTTAGGTTTTAGTGTCACTGTTATTAACTGCATTACGATGTGATTGTGGAGAAGAGGTCTACAGACATTGAAAAACAAACGATATAGTGGTCAAGTACATAAATGGTGCTACAGCCTCAGGATGTCTTAGAACATACCCATGCGTGTCAAGATGTGCTCAAATGTAAGTTCCATGAGACAGAGGCTTGAGTATTCTTTGAAGTATTCCCAGAACAGATGGCTTCCCTGACTCACGGGAGCACCTGATAAATATTTGTTATTAATTTCTTCCTGCCTAAGGCCTTTGCACATGCAGCTTCTGGTTACTGGCATGGTCCTTTATAGACACTCCACATACTAATTTTTGTCTCATTCTTTAGGGTCCTTCTAGAAGTTTCTACCTGGCCACCACTTCCCATATCACTGTTGTAATCTAAACTAGGTCAATGTCTGTATCTCTCCCAGACTACTTCCCTTTTCCCTATGGTGGTCATTACATCTCACAGTTGTACATCTATTTATGTCTATATACTCCATCACTGCTTCTTTAGAGAGCCGTAAATTCCACGAGGAATAGGAGCTAATCTTGGAGGTTCTAATATACTACTTGACATCTGGTAAACAGCGTGTATTAAGTTCATTTTCGTTCAGTGAGTGCCAGGATCTAGAAGAAGGAAACTGGGCTGAGGTCTTTGAGTTTGTGCGCATCTTTCAAATTAAGATGATGGTAATACCGCATGCATGCCCTCTGATTGGCTTTAACCAACTTGTGCCTGGATTGTTTTGTCAGTTATGTCATGGCCTGAAGTGTGTAGTAGCTATATATTTGTTTGTTCCCAAACCTTGGTTGAGCTTCTGCTCTGCACACAGATATGGGATCTCCCCTCTGCCCTTCACATGGCTGAATATGTTTTAGTTATCCCTTCCCATGACCTATCTCTGATACTTGGTATGTGGCTGAGGCTCGTGTGTGTTTTAGGAAGGACCTAACAAATGAAAGCATGTGTGTGAGGCTGTAGTGGGTGGGTGGCAGTCACAGGGGAGCAGGGGGCTAGTGGAGAGAGAGGAGGTTGAACAGGGGTTTCTGGTCTATACTGATCGTCCTGTCAGCCCTCTATAGGAAGGCATTTGACCTTCTATTTTGTAGCATGCCTCAGGCCAGGTCTTGCCCAGTTCACATTCATTTCCCATCTTACCTGCATGGCCCCTTCTAGGCAGCTCATAGAGGGGGCTTGTTTCTCAAAGTAGTCAGCCTCAAAGCCTTGCTGACTTCCCCTTTCCTAGTCATAGAAAACCTCTCCCTTCCAATACCACCCCCTACCCCCGCCTCAAGCCCCAGAGGCCCCAACCAAGCATTCCAGCTCCCTTTGTGTCCTTCAGCCCTGAGTTCATTAATGGCACACTCCTATCTCTTCCCAGACTTCATGGCCAGCAGGTCAGGCTCTTCCAAAGAAAGTTGTCTAATTATCTTACTTGTCTGAGGACCGCCGCGTCGTGGGGAGCAAAAGCTCAGAAACAAAGCTGGGCGGGAGTGGACAGCGTTGCTATTGCCAGTTGAATGCTTCACACATGAGGCCAGTGGAGTTCACATGCTTGCCCACTCCCTGGCAGTTTCCTGAACTAGAGGCAAAGATCTCCCTGCTAGAGGAACAAAAGGAAAGGGGATAGGCTGGTGCTGGTGGAGTTTCAGAGTCAGGGCTGGAGGTGGCTGTCTGCAAGTGGCAGAGTTGGTGACCTTTCCAGTCAGCTCCCCTCTACTCTGCATGCTCTCCTCCTGGGGCCCTTAGCTTGCTCTGCCCCAGCCCCTTTACTCTCTTTCCCTTCTCTATGAGTTGTTCCTTGAAAAAAAAAAGTGGAAGATGCTGTGACTTTCTCACAAAGTAAGCAGATGTCTGAGGTTTTGAACGTCCTTAAGCAGTCCCTGAATTGGCATGGCCTGCATGGGTGAGCTCTAATTCAGTAAGTGTCTGTTCACAGACTGACGCTGAGAAGCATTCACAGGTGGAGAGGAATTCCCTGTGGTCTGGTGATGACATCAAGAAATCAGATGGCGGCTCAGACAGCGGTGTAAAGATGGAGCCGGGCTCCAAGTGGAGGCGGAACCCTTCAGACATGTCAGATGAGTCGGACAAAAGTGTGTCAGGCAAGAAGAATCCCGTCATCTCACAGACAGGCTCATGGCGGCGAGGCATGACAGCAGAAGTGGGCATCACCATGCCCAGGACAAAGCCATCAGCTCCGACGGGCACACTGAAGACACCAGGATCTGGTGAGTGAGAGGCCAAAATCATGATGATTTTAGTGGGGGCATTACATTACAAGGGACTTCTTTGGGTTGCTGTTTTGCTCACATCCATCTTTATGGTGTGTGTGAATGGTTGTGGGCATATATACACACAAAAAATGTGTGTATGCCAGTACATCTATGAATATACATAAGGACACCAGAGGATAACCTCAGGTTATGTCCCTCAGGACTGTCATCTGCTTTTTTTCCCTCATTTTTTCTTGTTCTGTCTGTCTATCCATTTATTTATCTATTATTTTTGTTTGGTTTTTGAAACAGGGTCCTACTGTCCAGCTCTGGCTGTCCTGGAACTCACTCTGTAGCTGAGGCTGGCTTCTAACTCACAAAGGGCCTCCTTCCTTTCCCTCCCAAGTGCTGGCATTAAAGGTGTGCAGCAATATGCTTTTTGGTTTTTCCAGACAGGGTTTTTCTGTGGCTTTGGAGGCTGTCCTGGAACTAGCTCTTGTAGACCAGGCTGGTCTGGAACTCACAGAGATCTGCCTACCTCTACCTCCTGAGTGCTGGGATTCAAGGTGTGCACCACCACCGTCTGGCAAGGACACCAGATCTCCTTATAGATGGTTATGAGCCACCATGTGGTTGCTGGGTATTGAACTCAGGACCTCTGGAAGAGCAGTCAGTGCCCTTAACCGATGAGCCATCTCTCCAGCTCCTCCACCTTTTTTTTTTTTTTTTTTTTTTTTTTTTTTTTTTTGAGCCACAATCACTCACTGGCCCCGAGATCACCACGTAGGCTGGCCCTAGGAATCATGCTAGCTCCACCTTGCTCACACTAGGATTATAAATATATCCCACCACAACCACCTGTTTTAAGGTTGTTCTGAGGCTCTAACTCAGGCCTTCATGCCTGCCTGAAAGGCGAGCACTTGACTGACCTAGCCAGCTCTCTCAGCCCCTGTAACAGCTTCCTTAAAGGTTTACTTCCTTTGTTCTTTCTGAGGAGGAATATGTGTGTGAGTCCCACAGTGGTTCCATGTGGGTTGTTTTCACTGTGTACCAGCTGGCTCCATACTGGGGTTTACCACTCACCAGAACCAGTACCAGCTGCTCAAGGCCATATTGGTATATTGTATGCTGTCCCCTGGAAATGCAATACATGAGGCAGGAGGGCAGTGTATGACAGAGTCTCTTGTGCCTGGGATACACCAGCAGCTTCCTGGCTTTGCTCTGATCTGGGGGAGCATAGACTGCTTAGAAAGAGTAAAATCAGCGACACTTCCCTGTAGGAACAGACAGCAGCAGATGAGATTATCACTGTGCAAAGCTCTCTCTCCTGACATCCCCAGGGTGCTGTTCTCATTTAGGAAGCAGGGCGACCACAGTCTTTAGAAGGGTCTGCATTCTAAGCACACTAGCCAGTAGAGTCGGGTTCGTGGTCTGACCTCACTGGTTTCTCTCTTAGGAAAAACAGACGATGCCAAGGTGTCTGAGAAAGGAAGACTTTCACCCAAAGCCTCCCAGGTCAAGCGCTCCCCATCAGATGCTGGCCGCAGCAGTGGAGATGAAGCCAAAAAAACTCTCCCCAGCAGTTCTAGGATGCCCACTGCCAACTCCAATAGCTTTGGGTTCAAGAAACAGAGTGGCTCTGCTGCTGGGCTTGCCATGATCACAGCCAGTGGGGCCACCATCACCAGTAGGTCTGCCACACTGGGTAAAATCCCCAAATCATCGGCCCTTGTCGGTCGGTCCACTGGTCGGAAGACAAGCATGGACGGAGCCCCGAACCAGGATGATGGATATCTGTCTCTCAGCTCTCGGACGAACTTACAGTATCGGAGCCTGCCCAGGCCCAGTAAGTCCAACAGCCGGAATGGAGCAGGGAATAGATGCAGCACCAGTAGCATTGACTCCAACATGAGCAGCAAGTCAGCAGGCCTGCCAGTGCCCAAGCTGAGGGAGCCCTCCAAAACATCCCTGGGCAGTTCCCTGCCAGGGCTTGTCAACCAGACAGACAAGGAGAAAGGCATCTCTTCGGACAACGAGAGTGTGGCTTCCTGTAACTCTGTGAAAGCAAACCCGGCTACCCAGCAGGTGTGCGGCTCAGCTCAGGCCACTCTGCAGCCAGGGACCAAGTATTCAGATGTGGCCTCTCCCACACTCCGCAGGTAAGCAAGTAGAAATGCATACAGCCAAGCAGGGCCACAGTATGTAGCCTGGCACCCTGGACTAATAAACTCCCACTTTGATGTAAAGCAACCTGCGGCACTTCAGTTCTTGGTAAGGTTGCATTCAAGGCCAGCTCCCACCTGAACATCTGTAGTCTGTGTGTTCCTTTACTCATGCTAGGATGAGAAACAAAAAGTTCTAGAATCAAAACCTGACTTTATGTTAATTAGCTCTCAGGTTGTTTTTCTGAACCCTGCCTCAGTTTCCTCTTCTGTTCATTGGAACTGATGGTACTTTCCTCAGCATTCCTGCTAAAGTTCATCTTTGTAGCTGTGCTTGGCATGGAAGGCACCCAGTGAAAGTTAGCGACAGTAAGGGTGAGTTCCTGGCACACTTTCACACCCAGATTTTAGTTCACGGCATGGAGGTCTGTTGTTTTCTTGTCTCAGTACCATCCTGTTCTTTTATAACACATGGACAATATTTGAAATGTTAGCTTTTAAAAATATTGTTACATATGTAAGAGTGTGTAGTGTATGTGTGTGTTCATATATGTGTGGGCATGTGCACGTTGTGCACACACACTGAGGCCTGAAGTGGAAGTTGGTGCCTTCTTTGATCACTGTCCACCTTAATTACTGAGTTTCTTGCTGAACCCAGAGCAGGGCTAGTCTGGGAATTGATTGCAGGTGGGTACCACACACCGCCCGTCCTTCACATGAATTGTGAGCAACAGAACTCTGGTCCTCCTGCTTGTCTGTAAGGGGTTTATGCAGTGAGCCATCTCTTTAGCCCTACTCTTTCTTTTCCTTTTACATAAACCTCTAAAAGAAGAACCGTTTCTAACAAGGAGAAATTGACTTCCTAGCACTTTTGAATGTCATGTCTTCCTCACATCTCTGCCGTTGATGGAAATTCTTATTGTGGAAAGGGTGTCTTTTAACAATTCCTTTAAATCACCCATTGAACCCTTTTCTTTTTCTTTTTTGTTTTTTGTTTTTGAGACGGGGCCTTTCTACATAGTCCTGGCTGTGCTAGAACTCACTAATGTAGACCAGGCTGGCTTCCAACTCACAGAGATCTAACTGCCTCTGCTTCCCAAGTTCTGGGATTAAAGGCGTGCACCACCACACACAGCCACGGGCCCATTTTTGATTGGCAGTTGCATAGCTCTCACATTACCTTCTGGGCCATGACAAGCCCCAGGATTGGAAAGTTGAAGGGTGTGAAAGTAGAAATCAGACCCAGAACCCAAATTAAGGATGAGCAGGGATATCCGAAGACTCCAAAAGAAGCATTCCACATGAAACGGGAGGAAGTCCATGCGGTGTGCCCTGTCTAGACTTGATTATTAGGGTGCCAGTGATCATTACTTTTTTAGGGATAATAACCCATGGGCTGTTCTTTGCTGTTTTAACACACTACCTACATAAATGAAAAATTCCTCTCCCATTTGCTTCAGGTAGAAGAATAAGGCATGGTCTTAAAGACTTCCTTTTGGATGCTACAGTGGCATTTTACTAGATCCTCAGGCTAGTGTACATGAATCTTTAAAAGCACACGGGCTCCTCACGCACACCCAGGCTTGGGTAATCACACATTCCCTAAATTGCCCTGGTTGTCTAGCTGTGTTTATTTGTGTATCAAGGAGAAGCCCCCAGTGGAGTGAGATGGATAAGTTCTTTCAGATTTCACAAATTCATACAGCCGACCAAGTGAATTTGTATATGGGGTGGAAAGCCAGGCAAAGGTTCTCATCTTTGCTTTCTAACAATGAAAAGAGGACATTGGGGAGGTCCCATCACTGAGTATGTAAGTATTCTGAGGCCCAGATTCCAGAGTAGGATAATGTGTTTCTCTGATTCTGCCTTTAGATATTGTAGTGAGGGTTATGTATCTGTTCATGCCATACAGATACTGAGATTTGAGGGACTCTTTCCAGGTGATCAAAGTCAAATTCAAATTACTTCAGGCTTTGGGGCAAAAGGCAGTCTGCCTGTCACAACATGTAGTGTTCTTGTCAGTTTTCAGGGCTACTTACCCCCTTCACTACTTTTTGAGGAGGGGATAAGGCCCTTGCATTCTAGAACGTGGTCCACCCTCTGGCTTGGAGGTGGTTTCACCAGAGAGCTTTCTGCCCATGGAAGAGAAGGCCCCTGTGCTTTCTCTGTACTGATCACACATTTTCAGAAATGAGCAGAAGTTGGCATGGCATTTCTGTGTGTCTGTCTCAGAGACCTGATTTGTACCCAGTATGTCTGGTCCAGTGTCTGTGGACCCAGCATGTTTCTGTGCATGGTGTCAGCTCACACAAGCTCTCTGGCTTTCTGTTGCTCATGTATTTGTGTTCATACTTCTCCTGGGCTCCCTCCAGGTGTAAACTCATGATCTTGACTCTTTGTATTGTGCCAAGGGATCAAAGAACCAAGTCTCAAGGCTTCATACCTGGTGTCACAGAAAGAAGAAACTCTTTTCCTTCCAGAAGATTCCTGGGTTGGAGCAACCTTCTAGCTATTTTATTTAGAGAAAGAAAAGGGAAGCAAGATCATGGAGGAATGTGGGTAGGCCTGTGGAAAGTGTGCCTACCGCCTGGGCTTAGAGCTGTGTCCTTGCTGCAGCCTAGAGCTAGAAAGAGGTCCCTGGGAAGCACCATCATCCAGCCCTACTTAACTATCAGCCTGTCTTTAGGGAGACCCTAGTGTGTCTGCAGGAGAGACCACTGCCCTTTCCAAGGGTCTCACAACCTCCTCTGCCCCAGCCTTTTGCAGCAGCTCTGCACACCTTGGTCCCAGGTATTTGTCCCACACAACCCTTTGTCTCTTCGCAGACTCTTTGGTGGGAAGCCTACCAAGCAAGTGCCCATCGCCACAGCCGAAACCATGAAAAGTGCAGTGGTCATCTCCAACCCTCATGCCACTATGACCCAGCAAGGTAACCTAGAGTCCCCCTCAGGCAGTGGAGTCCTGAGCAGTGGGAGCAGCAGTCCTCTCTACAGTAAGAACGTGGACCTCAACCAGTCTCCTCTAGCCTCCAGCCCCAGCTCAGCCCACTCGGGCCCTTCCAACAGCCTCACCTGGGGTACCAGCTCGTCGGCAGTAAGCAAGGATGGTCTGGGCTTCCAGTCTGTTAGCAGCCTGCATACCAGCTGCGAGTCCATTGACATATCCCTCGGCAGCGGTGGGGGATTGAGTCACAACTCCTCCCCTGGTCCAGTCACCTCCACTAAGGAAGACTCCCTGTTGCCTTTTGTCCGTACCAGCAGTGTGAAGACCACACTGTCAGAAAGGTTAGTGCTGTGCCCTCAGGAGGATCTTTCTTCCCCAGATACAGACAGGAGGTTAGGGATCCAAAGGCCTTTGCCTGGGAGGTTTTGTTCTTTCTCTCTTTTTTTCCTTCTGGTTTTTCTGTTTTGGAACTCTCTCTTTAGACTAGGCTGGCCTTGAACTCAGAGATCTGCCTGCCTCTGCCTCCCAAGTGCGGGGACTAAAGGTGTGTGCCACCAGCTCAGCTTGGTTTTGATCTTTTCTAATCAGTTCCTTGCCGGTCGAAGCCAGTTTAGGTTGGAGTTGGTCTTGACTGCTTCCTGCTATCCCTTTTTTCTTTTCGGATATTCTTGGTGCTCAGAGCTACTAGATGGGGACAGATCTATGCTACTGTCTGAAATGACATTCAGCATTGGAATGTCAGCCTATTGACAACTTCAACTACTTCTTCTCATATAACTGAGCAAGCAGAGTAGGTGACCTGGGGAGGGTGTCATGTCAACACCCTCCTGAGTTGCTGGCCACAGTGATAAGAGAAGGAAAATCTGCAAGAGTCCACAGATCCTTGATTCTGCTACAGTTTGGGGGTGTGTCTGGTTTCTAGACCAGACGTGGGGAACAAAGCCAGGTCAGTCTTGGGAGTGAGAGAAGTGTTCTGACCATTGTGTATAACAGTGCCTCTTCCTTCCGTCTAATGTTCCTTCTCTTGTTTTCTACCTGCCTGGACTTCTAGCCCTCTCTCCTCCCCTGCTGCTAGCCCTAAGTTCTGCAGAAGTACTCTGCCCAGGAAACAGGACAGGTAATGACATCATAGGCCTGCTGAGCCTGGGGGGGGTTCTTCTGCCTGTGTTTGTTGTCAAGCCAGTTGTTCTGTGCAGGGCTGTTGGCCTGAGGCTCCCGCTTGTGTCTGTGGCTCTGGTGTACCCTGTGATAGCCAGGCATGCCAGTGAGGGCCTGCTCCACTGTCTGCTAAAGCCCAGGGAAAGGTGGCAAGTGGGTGGCCTCCCCAAACCCTGCCACTCATCCAGGGCTGCAGGAGCTCTCACTGGCATCCCCGTGGTGTCCGTGGCATGTTCCTGCCTCCCAGCTTCTTGCTTTTTCCTCCCTATCCCTCCAGGTACTGTCTACCACCCACTGTGCAGCCTGGCCCTCACCTCTGTCTCTCCCCTGCACCCCACCCCTCCTGGCCCAGCTGGCTCTTTTCCCTTGAAGGCTTTTGCTGCAGTCTGGCTCATCGTGTTGTTCAGAGTATCGTGTTGTGTGTGTCAGTATTCTGCAAAGATAATGGTAGAGCGCCTGGAGGGCTGGGGCTTTACGACTGGAGAAGCCTGGGTCCGCCCCCAGCCGTGGGTGGGCCTCAGAGATGGGTGTTGACCCTGAGTTTCTGGAGGAGTGGTGGCTTGGCCAAACATAACCAGCAGATTTTTTTTCATGCTTGGGGGGGGGGGGAGAATTAATGGAAACCCCCTTCACCCCATCCACAGCACTAACTTTGTTTCTGTCAGGCTTACAAACCAAGCCTTTAAAACCCTGCACTTTAGAAATTCAAATGCCTGGACTCTATCAGCCAGCAAGTTCCAGCATGCCCAGGCTCCTGCCCAGGGCTCAGCTCCTGGCTACGCCCTTGCTGAGCAGGAACAAGGAGACATTGAGAGGGACCTACAATTTACTTCATCACACATGAATTCCAAATATGCAGACTGCTACCTCTTGAAACTCTCCAATGAGTCTCTTCCCCTTCTTGAAACCTCTGCCACAGGCGGTAGGGTCGCAGGAGAGGGACTGAGGAGGTACACAGGTGGGACCTAGGGCAGCACAGGCTGTGCTTCTAGGTGGCCCAGCCCCTGCCTTGGCTTTGAACCTGTGGAAAAGGAGGAACAATTGGGTTTCATGACTCAGGCCACCTTGTGATGTGGGGTAAAGTATGCACTGGTGCAGGTGCAAACAAGACCAGGTTTCTTTTATATACTGTGTGGATGAGCTGCATGCATGGCTGGTGGTGGGAGTATGTCCCTTGCGGGGTCCTCAGGCCCCTCCCTAGCCTTCCTGCCTTTCCTCCCCCTCTTCTTGTGCTTTTCTGAAGTTCTTGATTTTGTTTTAACTTTCCTACAGTGACCCGCACCTTGATAGGAACACTTTGCCTAAGAAAGGACTCAGGTATCTGCCCCCTCCTTGCACCCATGCCATCTGTTGTGGCTGTGGAGCTTGGCTGTGTGGTTCTCTCATAGCTGGTGGGGCTGGGCTGGGCTGGGCTGGGCTGGGGTCCCTGCTTTGGCCACGGCAGCTGTATTTTGGATGATGGACCCCTCTCATTCTCATCTCTCCATTTGTGGCTTACTTGCTTGAGCAGGGTCTGTTGCTTTGTGAAGCTTCATGTGACCTAGCCATCTCACAACCGGCAGAAACCTGGAGCCAGGAGCAGTGACTGCTCCTGGGGGCCGGCAGGAGGGGCACTGGGCACTTGATGAATGTTTGTACACACAGCTGCTTTCAAAGGAGAACATGACTTACAGCATGCTGCTTTGTTAGCTGCCCCACTTAAAACTAACTTCTTCCAGACTAGAGATTCAGCTCCATGGTAGAGCATTTGCCTGCCATGTATAAGGTTGTGGGTTTAATTCCCAGCACCACCAAATAATAATAATAGTAATAATTAATAAAAATAATTTACTTTTTAATAATTAACCTTTGTGGCTATAAAACACTGAAGAGTTGTCTTAATGTCCTAATCAGTGATTGGGTCAGTTATCAACACCTACTAAGACATGGATATGATTGTTTTTTGGTGGAAAGTACAAAGAAAAAGAGACCACCAGAAAAGAATGTCTTTCCATGCATAGTAAGTTGGGCCTGGGCCACTTGTTGGGGCTTATCTTGGTAAAACAGGATGCTCTAAGTCGACTTTGCTCGAATCATGTCCATCGCATCACCAGCCCAAGTTGCTTCACTTTGCTCACACTCCCTGTGGACTTCCGAAAGTTCTGTTTCCTAAAAGCCTTGTTATTTGTAGCCTCAGCATCGCCCTGCACTAAATGTTACATTCTTTCACATGAAAAGGATCTTGGAGTGAAATGTTTTGTTGCTGTCTTGTGTGTCTCTAGTTAATAGTCCACAGCTCTTAAAGACCCAGAACTTTTCAAAGATTATTAGCATGGGTATCAAAACAAGAAGGCTCATGTTATGCCTCCCAGCGGAGTTCTACACCATGGCCTTATGTGTCAGCTAGATATGGAAATGAGTGATGGGTGCCACCATCACCCCTTGTTTTGAGTGAGACTGGGTCTCATGTAGCCCAGGCTGTCCTTGAACTTGCTATGTAGCTGAGGATGACCTTTGAACTTAGGATCCTCCTGCTCCCACTTCTTACCTGCTGGAATTGCAGGCGTGTACCAACATACCTGGTTTTTGCTGTGCTGCATGCGGAACCCATGGCTTCCTGTGTCCTAAGTAAACACTCCACCAACTGAGACATTTTCACAATCCACTGTTACCCAAAGAGGGAGCTAACGTCTAAATATTTACATTTTGAAATGCTGTGCTCCTGTCTGTGGTAGATCTGTTAATGCTATGTGGCCCTGAGTTTGTCTATTTATTTTTGGTTTTGGATTTTTGAGACAGGGTTTCTCTGTGTAGCTGTGGCTATCCTGGAACTCACTGTGTAGACCAGGCTGACCTCGAACTCACAGAGATCTGCCTGCCTCTGTTTCCTGAGTGCTGGGATAAAGGTGTGTGCCACCACTGCTCTACTAGCCCTGGATTTTTAGAATTGATTGTCTAAGCATTTAGGATGGGGCTATGTGACAACTATTCACAGGTACTCAATGTGCCTTACAAGGGTGTATATTCATCAACAAGACTGAAGACTTGTGTTCCTGTTCACAGTTGTTTTCTGTCTGGCTTACTCCCTTGACAACACACATGTTAGGTAGCAGATTGCTGAAGGCCAGTGGGTTCCTCTAGTGACCTGATCAGCAACCACTCTATAGCCCCTTAATCTGAGGGTGCCCTGACAATGTGGACAATGCAGAAGTTCCAGATGCTGTCTGTGGGAAAAGTAGGAAGTGACTAGAGTTTGCAATCAGACAAGCATGGATTAGAATCTCAGCTCTGGTCCCCAGCTTCCCAGAGCATATAGCAGGACTCAGTGTTACATCACTGTGTAAGTCTAAAGCCTCAGGGAGATGATACCTATAAAGGGATCTACCCATCAGAGATGTTCAGTAAATATTCAGTCCTGTTTTGGAATGTCCAAGGGATAAGACCACATGACTTCTGAAGGCTTTCCCATATTTAACACACCAGTATGGGTTTGTCTTCATGAAATCTGTTAGTGCTGTATTGTAGCAGTTGAGGGGCTGGGGATGTGGTTCTGCTGTTTGACTGCTTTTGTAGCATGCAGGAAGCCCCAGTATTTTATAAAGTATGCATGATTCGACATGCCTGAAATACCAGCCCTTGGGAGATAGAGGCTGGAGGATCAGAAGTTGAAGGTCATCTTTAGCTACATAGCAAGTTCAAGGACAGCCAGGGCTGTAAGAGACCCTGCCTCAGAAAAGTGTAGCCGCTATTGTAAACACATTTGGCACCACAGCTCTCTCCAAATGCCACCCACTGGCCGCCATGATTCAAGGCCATTCACCAGTGTGTGCAGATGCCAGCAGTTAGCTCATTAAAACCTCCTCAAACTCTAACAACAGCTCTTACTGTTCTTCCTGTCAAGGAGGGGGCTTTGAAGCGACCCTGTCATGAACCAACATGTCCCAGTCACACCCAGGGATGATTCTTTTGAGCATTCCCAGTCTTTCTCCCTTTAGGTGTTCCCCTTAAGCTGAAAGGAATTATAATTTTCCCCAGATGCAGCCAAGTGCAAAAAAAAAAAAAAAATAGTTTTGAGAAACTTTGTAAGTTTCAGGGTGTGTAGTGATTTTTTTTCCCTGTCTTAAATATAGTTTTTCTTTTTACATAGCCCTCATCAGCTGTGGGGAATGTATTTTCATAAGTGCTGTTCATTCCAACCTGGTTTCTGTCTCCAGGTATACTCCCACCTCCCAGCTTCGCACACAGGAAGACGCCAAAGAATGGTTACGGTCCCACTCTGCTGGGGGCCTGCAGGACACTGCTGCCAACTCCCCCTTTTCCTCTGGCTCTAGTGTCACTTCTCCCTCTGGAACAAGATTCAACTTCTCCCAGCTTGGTGAGTAGCCACTCTTGAGCTGTGTTGATCCACTCTGCAGAGCAGAGGCTGTCTTGTGTTTTGAAACAGGCCTGTGGCCACATCCTTCTTGGTATCTGATCAGTCCTCAGCAGTGCAGTCAAAGAAACAGAAAATTGCAAAGTTCTGAGTACTTCCCGCCCCTGGGCCATATGTGACTTAGGATGGCCACAGATGAGGCCAACATTTACTTAAAACATTAAGAGATTTGTATGTGTGGAGGCTTTTGTTGTTGTTGTTTCAAGACAGGATTTCTTTGTATAGCCCTGAATGCCCTGGAACTCACTCTATAGACCTGGCTTGGCTTGAACTCAGAGATCCATCTGCCTCTGCCTGTCAAATTTTGGGATTAAAGTATACACCACTGACTGGCATGAGAGGCTTTCATAACTCAGTTGCACTTCATGGAGCATGGTCTCTGTAGATGACAGCCTCCTGTCATAAAATCTAAAGGTTAGACACACCCATGTAGTCTTTTTCCTGCAGTGAGGATAGGTAAGATTCTAGCAGGGGGTGGGGGGACACTATCCTGCTATTCAGGGTACATTCTGCTTCTTGGACTTGTGAAAAAAATCAGGTTTTTTAGACTATTCCTCATTGCTTTATCAAGCCGAAAATAAGTTTTAATGAACAAGTATTCTTTGAAATGGCTGCTGCCTACATAATGTGTTGACTGACATACTGGGTTTGTGTGTATTTGTGTGTGTGTGTGTGTGTGTGTGTGTGTGTGTGTGTGTGTGTGTGTTAGTCCCTGCTGGAATGCTGAGGGATTCTCTATTGGACACAGACACATGGGTGCAGATCCAACAGACAGGATATAAGGGAAGAGTTCAGTAATGGAAGAGAATTGATCCTGAGGATTGTGTAGTCACAGGAAGGAGAGCTGGGTGCTGGTATCAGCAAAGGTTACTTGAAGGTGGTGGAATGTAGGTGGGTACTTGAGGACTGGTCAGTGGAGGAAAATCCTTTCTTTTGGTCTCAATGTTTAGAACAGCAGACTTTTCTGAATATTCTAGACTTTGAATTTAATCTAATGATGTGTATGTCTTGTAATCATGGGCATGTAATTCCACTCTATTGAATGTACACCTTTGAATGCAGTGCACATGGCTAACATGGACAGGACTTTTGATGAGAAAGCTCAACTTAGGGAAGTTGTGCCTTTGCCTTGATACTCTGTGCATTCTGTGAGATGATCCCTGTCTGAGGCCCTGAAACCTATGTTTGCAGTGTTCTTTCCCAGCCATAATTCTTTGCAGCAAGAGGTTCTTGTCATGTGCAAATGCTTCCTATCTGATCAAAAGCCTATTTGGACTATTTTGGGCTTTTGGCTTTGCAGAGGATTGTTTTAGATGAACCCAGGGAGTAATTAGCTCATGCCTGGAAGGTGACACTGGCCTGCCTGAACGTGCCAAGTTGGAACGTGAGGCCCTGAGCCTTGCTTTGGAACTGACCCACCTTCCCTCCCATATTTTTAGCTCTAAGCCTGTAACTCAAATGCTGATGAGACTACCTTTTAGAAATAGACAAGGGAGTGAAGTTGGCAGGCACACACACTGCTGGCGATAAGCAGCCGCTGACTGGTACCCGGCTGGGATTCAAACAGAAGTATGGATATCCAGCAGTTCATTCTGCTCCTCTGGTTCCAGCAAGTCCCACCACTGTCACCCAGATGAGCTTGTCCAACCCAACGATGTTGAGGACCCACAGCCTGTCCAATGCAGATGGCCAGTATGACCCCTACACTGACAGCCGCTTCCGGAACAGCTCCATGTCTCTGGATGAGAAGAGCAGAACAATGAGTCGGTCGGGCTCCTTCCGGGATGGATTTGAGGAAGGTAAGGGTTGGAGGTACTTCACCAACCAGGTCACTTAGCATGGCATGCTTGACGGTGCTCCCTCTGGTCACTACCACTCTCCCCTCACCTCTTGGGTGGGGATGAGGGGCTCTCACTAGAAAGATCTGACCCTCGGGTAACCTTTCAGGAAGCTGAGGGAGGAGGCCTCTGCAAATATTGCCGGCCCTCAGCATTGACTGAGTTCTGCCTGAGGCTCTTCTCTCTCCTGGCCTCGGGCCACGACTTCTTGGCATGCAGCTCCATCTTGAAGCCCAGCCGCTGGCTCACTCTGTTGGCAGAGAACCGCACTCAAAGTTCATCTCCCTGTGCCCTGCAGTTCTGGGAGCGGGCAGCCCCATTTGCATCCAGTGTTTCCTAGCTTGTCTCAAGATTCAGAGTTTCAGTTTTTACCCTTTTCCTGCTTGGACTGGTCCAGCCATGGACATTTATAGTTTTGTTTTCATCAGAATTTTGGAAGGAAAGTTCTGTGGGTTACTTTGTCAGCTACCTTCATAACTCACTTCGTTTCTCTCACCCTCTGCTGCTTCACCCGAGACACTGCCTTAGAGAGCCCCATTCTCCAAATACTGGGCTTGGTGGAGGCTGGAGGCAGGCTCAGCAAGCAGCGATAAAGAGAGGGGAGTTGGGCTGGCCAAGGATGAACCCCAACTCTACTCCTCCTTGGCCTCAAGAGCTTAGGCAAGATACTTTACCACTTTGTTCCCTTTTCCTCTATAAAAATGAAAGTAATAATAGCGTTCAGCTTATGGAGCTATAAGAATGAAAAGATAATGCATGTAAATGTTAGTACAGTTATGTTATTGTGCCTTGTGGCCTGTGGGCCGATTCCCACATTGGTTTCCTGATGGCTGCAAGCCAAGGATGAGAATTCAAGGACAAGTAGAGCCCAGTGGGACTCTGTCTCTGTTGGAACCTTTTTGCTAATAGCAGAAGAGAATGTAGGGGTGACTCATTGACCGTCTCCTCAGCAGGGTATAGGCTCAGTGTACTTCCAATAAGAAATTTCAAATCATAAGGAAGGGAATACAAGGTACAGTCTTCTGCTTCTCAGTTTTCTTTCTAAGAAAATCTTAAAGGACTTTAGTGACAGAGCACTTGCTTGTTGGCTAATCTTGGTAACTTGGGGCTCTCCCCAGATTTATATCCCCAGTAACTCCCAGTAGGGCAATCTTGTAATCCCTTATATGAAAACTGTTGGGCTGGAGGATTAAGGAGAAGGGGAGCCTGGGTGACTAGGGGCCTTTTGTTAGATTTAAAGGCTCGAAATCAGTACTGTGATGGCTCTGAGCAGCACCGTAGTGCACATACCAGCCCTAAGGCGGTGGAAGAGGAAGTTTGTCTAAGGATATTTTCCTAGTCCACGATTGGTCAAGAATAGCCATAGTGAGTCTCCCTCTGTCCCTGAGGAAGTTCCTGTGAAATGTGTCCTGTGCTGTCCTGATCATCTGCCATGTATATGCTTGAGGGAAACACAAAATAGTACCAAAACTTGTCCTGACAAGTATACATGGCCCCCACAAAGGCCAGGGACCATCGAGAGTCATCCTTAGCTAGCTCACATGATTCTTGATAACATTGGAACTGAACTGCAAAGGTAGGGTTAGAACTTTGCGGGGTGGGGATGTGTTACTGCACCACGTAGATTTGGCCTCTTCATCTTTGGGAATCTGCCATTCAATTGGGTTTATTCCTTGCAAGGTTGTTGTATGACAGAAACAGAATAGGACTTGTATAATTAGGTTTTTAACTCCTTGGAGTGTGTTTTTTTTTTTGGTTTTTGTTGTTGTTTTATTTTGACTTGATAAATTACCAATGTTGTGGGATAATCCAGTATTGTAGCAGAGTCAGATCATATGCCTGGCCAGATAGACCATCCTGGAAATGTTTATTTTATGCTATGAAGCAGGATTGAAGCTTAGGGAGAATTAGCACAGATGTTTGTGAGATTATGCAGTTTGATGAGCACTTTCCACATTTAAGGTAATGGGAGTGTAGCCATGTAGATCAGGTGCGGCATGGCCCAGGTGCAGCCTTTTGAAGTATTTCAGCTAAGTTCATTACCATAGACGGGGTCTAATATCAAAGTCACCTTTGGCATAGGTACACTTAGGAGATGCTGGAGGTGGCTTTAAAATGGATGTTGGGGCTGGAGAGGTGGCTCAAAGGTTAAGAGCGGCTAAAAGCATGTACTGCCGCTGCAGAGGGATGGGAGTCTGATTCTTAGTGCCCACATATGGTGGTTCACAGGTCCTGGCTTTTGTGCCTATGGGAACATTACACAAAGGGATTAGAAATGCATTACAAAATATACCAAAAGTTCTTTTGAAACTTAAGAACTTTTTAAGGTGGTGGTGGTGCACACCTTTAAACCCAGCACTTGGGAGGCAAAGGCTGGTGGATCTTTGAGTTTAAGGCCAGTATGGTCTACAGAGTGAGTTCCAGGACAGCCAGGGCTACTCAGAGAAACTCTGTTTAGAAAAACAAAAAAAATTAATTAAAAAATTTTAACTTTAAACCTAATTAAAAGTTTAAATGTTTCTGTCGTGTGTGCCATGCTATGCATGTGGAGGTCAGAGGACAACTTTTAAGAGTTGGATCTTTCCTTCCTCTGTGGGTCCTGGGTAGAGAACTCTTGTCAGGTTTGGGATCAAACACCCTTACCAACTAAACCATTTTACCAGCCCACCAAAACAGCCCACTGGAGAGCAGATCCTGAACTTGAATGGCTGTGAGCCTTAAGCAAGGCATGCCATTTGAGTTCCAGACTTAGACAATCTTTGTCTGTCCAGCTGTAGAATTCTGGAGGTATAGTGAGAAGCACCATCATGCTCTAGTGGTTTTGGAGTTGAAACTCTCATAGTCCACGAGGATCCATGTCCATGCTCCCAGGTTCTGATTCTCATTTTAAAGTTCTGCCAGCCCCAATGGTTCAGGCAAGCCACATTCAGGTTGATGGGGCTCAGAAAGTCACTGAGGTTGTTTCTTTGGATCACAGCCTTGCCATCACTGATTTCCAAGTGAGAGGAATTAGTTACAGAGAAAAGTAATGACCTCCACTTGAAGTGTGCCAGATGTGCCTCCTCTGCTAAGTCCCTAAGCTGGTCCTGACTGCTGGACATGGAAAATTGGGAGACAAAACATAGGCAGAGTTTGTGCCTGCTCAGGCTCTTCTCAGGCCCCCAAGCCAGCCCTGCTAGTGTGGCTGAAGGTGACTATATGGTTCCCATGTCTCTTCTACCAACAGGCCTCCCAGGTACTCTGTCCACTTTAGTCTGTCACACGGAAGTGCCTTGGTACTTCTGATCCTGCGGGCATGTTAGCACAGAAAGCCATTATTGGCCATTAACACCTTAACCTGCTTTTTATGGAGTGTGAGTCAGATGAGTCATGCTTGGTAGAAAAACAAGGAGCAGATCTAGAACCTGAATTACCTGGAAGGATGGATGTGAATTCTGGTGGAGCCCCAGCCTCAGACATAGGTCGGTACCTGCTAGTGAGAGGAGATAGAGCTCTGGACTGGGATGGATTGGGGCAGGTAGGGTTTAGAAGCATCCCGGACAAAGAGCTGCACTGGAAGAGCCTTGAAAGCAGGCAAGCACCATCAAGAGTGTGCCTGGGGAAGAAGTCCAGGATAGCAGGATAGCCTTGTGTGAGAGGAACACACAAAGGAAGTGTGTGAGGTCAAGGGAGGTTTATTAGAAACTCGATAGGCAGGTTCCCCTGTGCCAGATGGAACTGTTTGTTGATATCTTGCTGGAAGGCAGCTTCTAGTAGCCACTAAGTGGGGTTGAGCATGCTGCTGGAATGACAGGTGGTGAACTCAGTAGTGTGTGTAGAGATGTTCCTAGCCTTTCTTGGTCATGGGTGGGCTCCTGCTCTGGTGGGGACATAAGGCTTTCCACCTGTGATTAGGAAAGCTGTTGCCCACTTAAAGCACCTGCCATGTCTTGACACAGGGCTAGTTCTGTCTTCCAGACAAGTTGCCAAGAGGTTGTTGAGAAAATAAGAATCAGCTTTCCTGAAAGAGAGGCAGCTTGAATGCCCAGAAAAGAGCACACTTCACAGTGAGAGCAGATGATGAAAAGGCCCCTCCCGCTGGAGATGGCAGGGAATGCTAAGAGTCCGTGAGTGTGGTTCTGAGTCAGAACCTGTGGTTAGCAAGCAAGGAGGAGAACACCCTTGTCTATCACATGTAGACATTGCATAAATGCAAGTTCTATACTTCAGCAGAAATGTTGAGGTTTCAACTAATATTCTACAGCTACAAGGCTGTCTGAATTTATTATGACCAAAGACCCTTAGAGTCAAACTATTCATCTATAAGCATCTAGTGAAATAAGACAGCTTTGCCACACAGTCACAACCCTGAAGAGTGTATCGGACAAGGGTGGGTACAATCCGAAACAGGCACAGGCTGCCTCTGAAGAGCGTGGTTAGAATCTCCACAGCCACATTGCCCTGCGTTTGAACCTTTGCTGGTAAGAGCATTTGGTTACGTGAATATATGGTTCTGGAATCATATGTTATTTTGCTAGTTAAGAAAAATGTGGTACTACAAAAATGACTTCCTTAATGGATTATTTCATATTTGGCTCTGACCTGTGCTCAACCCAGGAAGTATTGGGCCAAGATGACAGTCACAGCCAGGCTGAGCCAGTGGCGTCCCGAAGTGCTGGCCTCCTCCTCCCTCCTCTCTTCCCTTTCACAGCAGCCAGTTTGACCCGTTTATTTACTTCCAACAGTTCACGGGTCCTCCCTGTCCTTGGTCTCCAGCACATCTTCCATCTACTCCACGGTGAGTCTGAATCAACGCTGAGCGACTGAGCTTGTGCATGCGTGCTTCATTATCAAGTATGTCAAGAGTAATTGTAAGCATACCATCTGCAGAGAGTATTCCCATTATAAAAGGATCAACTCCTAGACTTGAAGTTTGCAAACAGCTGCTATCACATCCCCCTTGGGGCTGGGGAGAGGGCTCAGTGGGTGAAGGGTTTGTTGCATAAGCATGAGAACCTGAGTTCTGATCCCAGCCCCCATGTAAAAGCTGAGAGCACACATCCTTAACCCCACCTTATATCCACATCTTCACATGAAGGACAGTGGCTCCTTGTCACCACAATGAGCATACATCAAATTCTTCCTGATTCATTAGAATACTATGCTCTTGTGTTTGGCCTTTCTGATGGATGGATTTAATTGTTTCAGTTTATAGAATTATGCCAGAAAAGAAACCAGTCAAAATCTAGACTCCCAGGGACTGGAGAGATGGCTCAGCAGCTATGAGCACTTGCTGCTCTTCCAGAGGACCTGGGTTCAATTCCCATGTGGTAACTCACAATCACCTGTAGCTCTAGTTCTAGGAAATCCAATGTCTTCTTCTAGCCTTCATGGATACCAGTCATACATACATCCATACAGGCAAATACTCATACACATAAAAATAAAAAAAATATTAAAGAAAAAAATTTCTAGACTTTTCCAAGTTTGCAAATTCAGCTGTCCCCATCAGCTGGGCTGCATTGCTCTTTTTTCTTCATAGTTCTGATTTTCTTTATGATTTATTTACAGCCAGAAGAAAAATGCCAGTCAGAGGTAAGGAACAGTTTGCAGTCAGATTCTCTTTCACTATCAGTGTTAATTCCATCCATCTCAGTCTGTAAATGGACTCCCCCAAAGCAAGTAACCTTATGCCTGTTTTTGTAGATTCGAAAGTTACGACGGGAGCTGGATGCCTCCCAGGAAAAGGTTTCTGCGCTGACCACCCAGCTGACTGCAAATGTGAGTGCATATTCGAGAGCGCACACTCACACATACACACACACACACACACACACCTGCACACACACACACACACACACACACACACACACCTGCACACATGGTATTAGCCAGGGACAGGGCAGGGTGGACCAAAGATGAAACAGAGTGGGTGGGAGGCAGAGTTGGGATGGGAGCTGAGGATAGGACTAAGTGGAAGCCAACAATAGAACCCAACAGGGAGGGAGCCAAGGATGTAACAGGGTAGGAGCTAGAGAGAATAAAAACAAGTAGGAACCAAGGACAGCATAGAGGAGAGACTGGAGGTTGGACAGGAAATAGCCGTTGGACTCCTGAGCATTGCCCTGAGGCCCTGGGTCTCTGGACACTCAAGAAGTAACTCTGTGGGATCAAAAGGAGATGACCTTTAGTCCTGTGAACATTGATGCCAGGTCAGGAGCTAGCAGCATGGCTTGGGGTTCTCTCTGTAACATCTGAGTCTGGCTTTGCTAGTCTGTGTAATGGGATGATTGTCGTCTCCCTGTGTTGTGAGGTGACCAAGGCTTGCAGTCTTTTAAGTGTTAACTCATCTCCCTTCCTCTTTCTGAAGACTGTGGTCTTAAGGGAGGTGGGAACACTAAGAAACATGGGAAGAAAGGCAGCTGTGGCTTCATGATAAATAGCTGGTGCTCTGTAGTTACATTATGCACAGTGTTCAGCACTGCCAGCCTTCTTTCTGTCCCACCACTCTTTCTAGTGCCAGCAACACTGGGCTCTGGGTCCAACAGCAAGTCAGGCAGAATCACTGCCACCTTCCTGTGCCAGCTCAGGACCTGAAGGGAGGCACAGTGAACAAGTTCCCTGGGACATGATCATTCTTGTCATAGCGATGAAAGACGCACACAAGTGCCAAGCTACATCTTGGTGGGAGGTGGGAGGGAGTCAGGAAGGGTTTCCCAGAGGAAGTGACACCAGAATTGATGTCCTGTGGAAGGGTGCAGCATCCTAACCGAAGTGAACAGTCAGTGCAAGGTGAACTGTGAGTGGCTTATCTAGTTAGTAGCTAAGCCAAGAGTGAGTAGAGAGACATGGGAGAAGTCTATAGTATACAGGAAAGGCGAGGGACAGATGAGTGTCTGAGCTGTTAGGTGGGGCTTTAGGACTTTTGGGAGAACCCTGCCAATGTGGACCAAAGAGAATAGAAGAGAGGCAAGGATCTCCCTCCCTATCTGGGAGACCCACAGAGAAGCTCCACTGAGGGCAGGGCTGTGACCCAGAGAGGCTGGGGCTTTGGGGAGGTTTGGGGAGGTGCTTGGTGGCTCCAAGGCCAGACTTCCTGCCCAGCCTCAGAGCAGCACAGATCAGGGTAGCAGAGCCTGTTATGGGGAGCACCCTGCGAGGCCCACTTCATTCCAACAGTGGAAGCCACTTCAAAGACTAGTCTCCTTTGACCAGGAGAGTGAGTCAGGGCTCCAGAGTAGTCATTTACCTGGAATTCTTACCCTGCCTATTCCTGCTTGAGCCTGACTGACTCCAGGAAGTGTGGCTCTTTCAAATCTGCATGTGAAGCGTGAAGTGCCCTAAATTACAAGCCCAGGAAGTGTAACCCCCTTCATCATTACTCCATCTCCCAAGCTCTGAATATTTTCCCTGAACTATGTGCTGTGCAATCCTTTCTTTTCGTCACCCTCCCTGTCTGTCATCAGTATGGCTATCAAAAGACCATTGGAGGGCTGGAGGGATGGCTCAGCTGTTAACAACATTCACTGTTATTCCTGAGGACCCCAGGTAGGTTCCTAGCATCCATGTCAAATGGCTCACGACCACCTGTAACTCCAGCTCCAGGAGATCTGATGCCCTCTTCTGGCCTCTTTAGGTACCCACATATAAATGTGGTATACACACACACACACACACACACACACACACACACACACACACACACACACAATAATGAAACTAAGAAATCATTAGAAACAATCTCAGAGCTGAATTTTCAGACTTAGATTCTTCCTATTCAAAAAGTGGCAATGGTATCCTGAATGTCTTCTAATTGGAAAACCCAATGTATACACCTGAGTCCAGAACTGAATGCAGACCCAGGGAGGTGGACAGTGACCCCCTACCCCCAGGAAATGCTTCATGATTTGAGGCAGTCATCAAGTGCTGCCCTTGACTCTTCATCAAGTACAAGTCATTTGCTTACCAGTGACCTTGGGTTAATCCCACCAGGAGCCCTATGTTGGCCTGTGGTTCTCTACCCTCTGTGCTAGAAGGACTGGAGTAAGGCCCCTTATATTATTCCAAAGTGTGTTGCACCTCACAAAAGCTGCTGAGTGCAGTGTTGTTTTAAAGTAAATATTTAGTCTTACCACACTCCACACTCCACCTCAGCCACTAGTGTTTTATTATCTGCCATCTTTCTCAGAGACCAAGCTGTGTTTGTTTTCCTAGGACAAGCTACTCTGAGCTGCCCTGGCTGGTGTTTTCATAGCTCTCCATTTGTTTTCCCTGGGAATGTGAGAATGGCACTTGGCGGGAAGGCTGTTGTGTTATGTTGTGCAGCCCCGCTAGGCCCTGCCTCCCCTGTGTTTTCATAGCTGTGCTCAGGACACAAAAGCAGCCCTTTTACTCACCAGCAGAACTGGATCTCTGACCCTTCAGAGCTAAGCGGCTGTTTTCTGAGCTTGCAAACACACTTTCACAGCTTGAGTAAGTAGTGGTGTCCCAGGGATCACGGGTAACCCTGGATGCAGATGCAGAATGAAAGTGAAGGCAAGTCATCCCATTTCACTCCTTCCTCTGCTGGGTGAGGACAGCATGCTGTGCCCTGACCCAATTCCCCTTCCCACTATGCAGTTTTGAGTTGATTAGCTTTAGTGGTATGGTAATGCTAGGGAGACTGAGGCAGAAGGATACCAGCTCGGGGCCAACCTAGCCTATATAGTGACTACCAGGCCAGCCTGAGGAAGGATGGGAGACTCTGACTCAAAAAAAAAGGGGGGTGGTGGAGGAGGGACTGCAGAAATGGCTCTGTGGTTAAGAGATTGCTCTTCCAGAGGACCCAGGTTCAAGTCCCAGCACCCACATGAAGGCTCGCAACTGTCTGTCAATCCAGTTCTAGGGGACCTAACACCCTCACACAGACATGCATGCAGGCCAAGCACCAATGCACATAAAATAAAAATAAGTAAATTACTTAAAAAATCATTTTGCCCCCTATTCAAGGTAAACTAAAGAACAGAGGCATTTTCTCCATTTCAGATATATAGAGTGTAATACAAAAGAAACCATCTGGGTAGTCTTGCTGCATTGGTGTCTCTGCACTGTGACAGCAGAGGGTCCTGGCCTATCTTCTGTCTCAGTCCTATCCAGCCTATCGTGATAAAGTCTAGTGAACAAACAGTTGAGTCACTCTGTAGCTCTCTCCCTAGGTTGACATCCAGATCCATTCAACAACCCTGCCCACTTGTATCCCACGTTTATCCTTCTCTTGGGGCACTGATCACCTTTTCCTCTGGGTTTTTACAGTGTGGTCACATCTCACTTTCCAGACTAAACTCTGGTCCTTCATATCCATCTCAGCAGGATCAGTGACCTATGTCCTCTATAAGAGTAGCAAGTGCTCTTAGCTGCAGAGCCATTTTTTCAGCCCAGTAGACTTGGTCTTAACGGCATTTTCAGATTTCCCCATTCAACTAACAGTTGAATCAATCAATCATGACACATCCATTACTCTCTATCACAAACAGGCATAGTTTGGGCACAATAATCTCTTGACCTTGACACTGAATTTCTCAATTCCAAGATATACATGGGTTTGCTTATCTATTTATCAATGTATTGATTTATCTATTTATTTGTTTGTTTGAGACAGCATCTCTATAAGGAGCAGGCTGGCCTTGAACTCACAAAGATCTGCTTGCCTCTGCCTTCCAAGTGCTAGAATTGCAAGCAAGTACCACCATGCCCAGCTATTGTTTTTTGTTGTTGTTGCTGCTGCTGCTGCTGTTGTTGGTTTTGTTTTGTTTTGTTTTGTTTTTCAAGACAATGTTTCTCTGGGTAGCCCTGGCTGTCCTGGAACTCACTTTGTAAACCAGGCTAGCCTTGAACTCACAGAGATCCTCCTGCCTCTGCCTGCCAAACACTGAGATTAAACACTGTGAGCCATCACTGCCGGGCTATTGTTTTGTTTATAAAATAGATTTATTTTATGTTTTAGTTATATGAATGTGAGTGTTTGCTCTAGTGCATTCAGGCGCCCACTGAGGCCAGAAAAGGGCATTGGATACACTGGACCTGAAGTTACAAGGTGGCTGTGAACTGCCTAACAGAGGTTCTGAGAGCTGAACTGTAATCCTCTGCTCCCATAGAGGACCTAAGTTTAGTTCCCAGAATCTGGATGGTGGCTTACAATCTCCTGTAACTTTAGCTCCAGGGAGATCTAACATCCCCTTGTGGCTTCTTGAGACACTTACATGCATACAGTACACTTATATACTTGTAGACAAGACATTCATACACATAAAATAAAAATAAATAAATATATAGAAAGAAAGCATGAAACAGGAATGAAAATGGATGTCTGGCAGAAAAGTGGCTCGGAGGGTCAGGCAGGCAGGTGTGATTTGTCTGATGCCCTGAGTTTGCTCTCGGAGTCTGCGTGGAGGGAGGAGAGAGCTCTTCACAGTTAAGCTGTCCATCCAGCCCAATAGACATAGTTTTATTTTGTTACATTGTACCATCTGAAGATTGGATGCATATGCTAATTATAGCCATCCACTTTTGAAACTTTTTCTGAGCCTTGTATAAGACCTTGCATCTGGTGTCTTGTTCTAACAAGAGTATATCAAAGTGTGCAGGAGCCTGGAGGAAAGTGTCTCCCTGGGGGAGCTGGGAAAGGTTTCTTCATCCAGGCAGCAGATGGGCCTTTCAGTGACTTTTTATTAATGAGGATTATAACAAGGAAAATAAGCCAGCCACTTTGTTCATTCTATAACCGGCTTCCCATGAGCCTGTGCTTCCCGTGAACTTGGTAATTGGTGAACAGCAGATGCTACTGCAGTGTGTTGTGGAATCAGCCATAAACTACAGTCACAGACCCCATGTTCTTCCAATGACAACCTCAGTGTGTGTTGAATAAAGTGGACCTGTGAAAGTGAGTATGAGGGAATAGACCCAGACTGGTGGTGTCACCAGTCAGACACATAAAAATTAGGCAAAGACCAGGTAGGGAAAAGGTGTGGGACAGGGGGAAGAATGCTTAAGGAAGGAGGATTTGAGCATGGGCTAGGCAAGAGTAAACGATCCCACAGAGTGATAGGCTGAACCTGTACAAACCACATGATGAGGCTCTAGTAAGTTTTTGTCTTGAGAACCCAGTCTCCCTCAGGCACTCTGGCCTGGCAAGATGAGGCTTCACTGAGGCTTCCTCTTCCCCTCCAGGCTCACCTTGTGGCAGCCTTTGAGCAGAGCTTGGGAAACATGACCATCAGGCTGCAGAGTTTAACTATGACTGCAGAGCAGAAGGTAAGGCTGGGGGATGCCATTGCTCTCTTTCGTTTCAGATAGAGATGCAGATGTTATGTCTTGGACTAGTAGGGTTTAATGTCAAGAATAGATCTGTTGGGTAAAATACAGCCTAGATCAATCAAATGTTGGTCCTGGTGTCTCCTATGGCTCTTGTGGTCTTCGCCACTCTTGTGGCCTCCTGTACTCCCTGATGTCCCTCCTGTACTCCCTGAGTTTAGATCCCGTCCATGTATAGACAGATCTGTGGCACTCCTTTGCCACTGCCCTCCTCTGCTCTGTTCAGGCAAAAGTTGTTCTTTTGAAGCTGGTTTGGGATGTACCTATTACATCTTTCTCGTCTTCAGGATTCAGAACTGAATGAGTTAAGAAAAACTATCGAGCTGCTGAAGAAACAGAATGCAGCTGCCCAGGCTGCCATTAATGGGGTGATCAATACACCAGAGCTCAACTGCAAAGGTAACATGTGAGACACACCATAGACAGCCTGTCACAGTACAAGATGCTGCTCCCTGCGATGGGGAGAGAGAGACTGTGACTCAAGCTGTAGATCCAAGGGATGGGTACAGAAGGTGGACCCTTTCGTCTGCTTGCTTCTGGCCACTGCAGAGATGGCTAGTGTAGTGCATCCTCTTCTCTGGTAAATCTTAAAGAAGGAAGAAATAGGTTTCTTATGGAGAAGCATCCTAGTGTCTTATAGCTTTTCTCATGCCTCCATGATTATCTGTATTCATATTGGAGAAATAGTAGAATGGGTTCATCTCTTACTTGCCACAGGAAACTGCCCTAATAAATTGTTGGGTTTCGTGTGTGTGTGTGTGTGTGTGTGTGTGTGTGTTTTTTTTTTTTTTTTTTTTTTTTTTTTTTTTGTGGACTTGCAGGTGACTTCAGCAATACCCACTTGAACAGCACCTATGCTCTGGGCAGTATGGGTACCCAGTACTTAGAGAAGGCTTTCCCTGTATTTTCAACACCATGCCAAGTCTTCTCCTTTTTAAACTTGCTCATTTTCTTTTCACAACTAAATTACAAGGACCCTTCAGGCCCTTTGCTCATTGTTGATGATGGCCAAGGGCTTCAGAGGTGATGGTGGCCAAGGGCTTCAGAGGTGAGGTCAAAGGTAGTTAGGAATAAAAGTAGGCCTGGACTTTAAGGCCTTCTGGCTCTACAGCAAGCTGTCTTTGGATTAGAGATGGTTCTATCCATAGGAGGAAAGCTAGCTGCAGCCACAATTTCTGCCATCTCTTGTTATTTCTGTCAAAACAGATACTGGGTCTGCAAAAGAGCAGTGATGGTTAGAAAGTTAGCAATACAGAGTGAAGGGAGAAGAGTCCTGGAGGCCAAGGGAAGAGGGCCTGAGAGACATGGGCTTGGTGCATAAAGGGTCACAGGGAGGCAAGTAGAACAGAAACGTAGCAATCAAAGGAGGAGAGATCACTGGAGACCTGGGTGCCATCCCTAGTGTGGCTAAAGAGAAGTGATTGAAGGAGCTCCTACTGGGGCATACTGCTGTGTTTAGAAGCATGTCCCCTGTCTGTCAAAGCAGAGAACTGGTGTTGGGAATATTCCTTAGGCTTTCTAACCTCCATTCTGTAGAGTGCAAGGTGATAGTTCCTATGTGAAAGAGGGTATAGTCATTATCAGTTCTAGGCTCTCACAACCAGCAGCGGGGTATACAAGTGCCCTGGAGTCAGAGGAGGCCATTCCTGGGGCCAGAAGATTGTGTTCTGGGGCTCAAGGGCTGACATGCCTTACTTTGCTCTCCAGGAAATGGCAGCAGCCAGACTGCAGACCTACGTATCCGCAGGCAGCACTCCTCTGACAGTGTCTCCAGTATCAATAGTGCCACCAGCCACTCGAGTGTGGGCAGCAACATAGAGAGTGACTCAAAGAAGAAGAAGAGGAAAAACTGGGTGAGTGCACATCCCTAGACTCTCCCAGAGACTGGCTCATGGTGTCCCCAGAATAGGTATCCACCGATAAAGCCCAGGCTTCCTCCTGACCTCAGTACCACAGTCCTCGGAGTGTAGATCCAAGGAAGTGGCCTTTTACTAAAACCGACACTGTGCTCAGCAAAACAGTGGCATTGATCAAGTCCCACACTGTGGTTTTTCTCTTCATGAGACTGTGTGATGTACACGTCTTTCATTTCATGTGTATCTCATTTCTTGCTCATCTTACACTGGCCACAGAGTCCAGAGCTTAGTGAATCTCATTATTCCTATTTACTGTTTTGCCCTTAGTCCTTGGGATGAAACTCCATAACTCACGCCTGCTCCACTCCTGAACTATACCCCTCCTGAAGCCTTTGACAAAACTACTCATAAGTAGTTTCTTAGCAAGTATTAAAAGTTATCTCATCCTTAACCTTAATCTTTACTTGTTTATTTACTTATTTATGCAAGGTCTCACTTGATATATAGGCCTAGCTGGCATTGTACTATGTAGACCAACCTAGCCCCAGCTTGCAACAGTTCTTCCTTTGCCTCCCAATTGCTTAGATTACAGTTGTGTACCACCATAGGCCTGCTATTTATCTATGTAATTGCCTTGGATAATATCAAACCAGCATTCTTAATGAAAAATTTATAACCATATTCTACAAGTGTGCTTCATAGTGTTAGTGTTATGGGTTAGGGGCCCAAGTTCAGGCTTGTGCCTCAGAAAGTTGGGTCTAATACAGTCGCTATCCGTAATCCTAAAATGCTCCTTGATTCTCTGCCTGGAGTGCCGAAGGCTGCTTTCTTTACTCCAAAAAAGTCCCAAGCACTTCTGCCCAGTTTCATTGCTGCTGTCACAGCTTCAGGGCAGTGAGGAGGTATGTTACTCACCAGGGATACCCTGGGTACATCTGAAGTGGCCAGGCTCACCAAGCCCCATTGTTAGCTCTGACACTGTCCTGTTTCATGGTGTCATCGTGTCCTTCATCCCATATATGTCTCACTCATCTTGAATCATCTTGGATGGGTGGCGAGGTCTAGTTAGCAATAGGGGTTTCGTAATGCTGGTCATTGGTGACTCACCTTGGAGGTGAGCTACCAGGCCATCTTCATGTCATCCTCTTATTAGTCTGGTTAGCTTTTTTTCTTTATGTTACTAACAGTTTTTCTTAGCAACTTGTTTTTTTTTTGTAGCTAGAGAAGATGAGCACGTGTTGCCATCTCTAATATGCAGTTGATAAATGTAATCTATTCAGATTCTGAAAACAGTGAGAGAATTATCTGTGAATAATACACGGTCAGTGAGATGGCTCTGCAGCTAAAGGCATTTGCCTTGCAAGCTAGATAGTCTGAGTTTGATCCCTGGAACTCATCTAAAGATAGAAAGAACTGACTCCATGAAATTGTCTTCTGCCATCACACGTGTGTGACGGCACACTCGTTATACTCCCCTCCCCCTACACATGCACAATGCATACACAGAATAGTAAAACAACAGCAATAATAACAAAATTTAAGAAAAGGAAAAACCCTGGCTGTTTTCTTCTAGCCAAGAAATGAAACTTGTTTATGTTGTTTTTAGACAATTCTCACTTCTCCATGAAGCCCGGAAGGATGGATAACAGACATCTTCCGTGTACCCCAAATCTTACCTCTGTCTAAATTATGTAATCTCCTCTTTCACCTGGCACTTTAGCTCTCTGGCTTGCGTGGCAAAGCCTGGTTCTGTGATTACCATCTGCAAAGTGGAGCATCAGTAGACAGCAAGAGAGCAGTGGGCTGGGGTTTGCCCACAAGCAGCTTGTCGGAATCAGAACACATCCATTAGGAAAGGCCTCGTGACTCACAAATGGGGAAATTCCTAGAATATATTTTCAGAAGGTAAAAATTAGGTTCCCAGAAAAGGAAATGACTCCTAAAATACCTATTTTGGAGACAAAATATGATTACTTTTGTTTGGAGCCTAGAAAACTACGTGCTGGTCATGGCCCTTGGAGAATTTTGTTTAATTCTCATGTTCCCGCCAGAATTTCCATGTCTGCCTCAGGGGGTTGGGGAACAGCCTTACCCCTTTTCTGTTTTTTCCAATGTAGTTAATGAGTTTCATAGACAGATATGGAATTGCTGAGTGACAAGTGAGGTAGCCAAGTTCTGTGCTTGCTAAATTATGTTCCTCATGGCAGGAGAGCATGAACCCATAAGCTGACACAACAAAGAGCTAGCTGTGCAGACTCAAGGAGCCAATGCAGATGTCAGTCCTCGATTGCCTTCCCACTGCTGCTCTGACCCAAGACATGATTGAAAAGAGGCAGGGAGATGAGCAAACAGACAGGAAAGCAGGGAAGCCATTGCAAGTGAGGAGAAGCCGGGAAAGCCCTGGCTGTAGGAAACCCCTCAGCTTGCTCTTCCCTTCCTCTCATGATGGAAGAAGATGCTCCTCACAACCTGTGCTGTTCAAGCATCCCACTCCCACCAGAAGCCTCTGTGAGGTGTTTATTATGAACCATGTTGCATCTGAAAAGTCATCAGCTTTCCCTGTCACTGGCTTTCTCTGTTAAAAATTGTCTTTTTTCCTTCCCCTTCCCTGTTTTTTGCTTGCATTTTCTCTGGCAGGTCAATGAGGTAAGCGAGACCAAGTTTAATATCAGATACCAAGCTAACCCATCCATTGATATGACTAACCTCATCCGCATCTGTCCCCACATCTGAGCATCCTGCTTTGTTGCTGTGTAACCTCATCTTCCCACGTGCACCTGCTGAGCCAGGCTCTGTCTTGCTGTTGGCATCTATTCTGGAACGAAGAGTAGGCATGGAATGCCCCCACAGGCCCATCCTGAGCTGTCAATGCCAGATAACTTCCCTTTTTCCTGAATGCACTGATTCCACAGAGCTGCTGGGTGCCTTTGCCATTGATGGGGGAAATGTGGTCCAGTTAATTGCTCTTTTGTAAGCATGCCTCTCCCCTGGCCTCACCTCTACGAGGCTGACGGTCTTATGTATTCAGTTGCGCAGCTCCTTCAAGCAAGCTTTTGGGAAGAAGAAGTCCCCTAAGTCAGCATCCTCACACTCAGACATCGAGGAGATGACGGATTCTTCATTGCCTTCCTCACCAAAATTGCCACACAACGGATCCACAGGCTCTACCCCGTTGCTGAGGAATGCCCACTCCAACTCTCTGTGAGTTTGTCTAACAGACCTTTGGCTCCTGCCTTAGTTAGGGTTTCTATTGCTGTGAAGAGACACTATGACCATGGCAACTCTTATAAAAGCAAACATCTAACTAAGGTGGCAGTGTAAAGTTTCAGAGGTTTAGTCCATTAACATGCAGGCAGTCATGGTGCTAGAGAAGGAGATGCTACATATTGATATGCAAGCCACAGGAAGTAGACTGTCTGACTGGGTGTGGCTTGAGCATATATGAGACCCCAAAGCCTGCCTCCACAGTGACACACTTCCTCCAACAAGACCACATCTACTCCAATAAGCCCATGCCTTCTAATAGTGCCACTCCCTTTGTGGGCCATTTTCTTTCAAACCACCACAGCTCCTAAGAGCCCTCTCTTCTATATGGGAGTCCTATAGTACAGTACCTGCTTCTGGGGACTCCTCCAGGCTTTGCTTTACTAAATTTTGCCTGATCTTCTAATGTTTTCAGACTTGGCAGGGGTCCTGAGAGAGAGAAACGTGAAGTTTCAGCAGGGTTTCCCATTGCCCATAATTAGCAGCTGCCCTTCAGCAGGCTGTTTAAATTCTCTTTGTCTATCAGCTGGGGTAATGACTGTTGTCCTCTTATCCCACACTGAAGGTTGAGCAAGATAAACAGGTGCAAAAGAGTGAAAGGCGATGGTTGTGTGAGTGTGGGTGGTTTTTTCTGAAACTCCGGCTTCCCTGGGATATGCTTTGGCTGAAATGTGGTGTTGGTTGTTTTCTCTGAGGATAGAACTCAGAAGTCATAAGGACTCATGGGAATCATAAAGTGATTCATCCCAAGAGCCACCCCTCAGGGACACTCAGTGCTTCTCTCTTTGGAGGCACAGCTGGTTTGCTGAGGTGTGGATGAGCCATTAGTTATACAGAGAAGAGCCATCTACCCTGGCACCACCCTCCCTGGTGATTCTCACTTTGTGTCAGCCCTTCATCCCTCCATTTGAGTGCAGGGAGACAGTCCTGTGCCTCACCTAGACCACAAGGCTAGAGAGCCTAGAGCGGAAATAGTTTGGGGTGGGCAGTGGGGACACGGATATCAGCTCAGAAACAGACACAATCGGCTTCCTGCAGCACTGAGAAAGCCTCCCCCATGAGCATTTACAGTAGGCCCAGTGTCACTGGTGAAGAACCATGTAACAAGCAATCTGCAAAGAGTGTCAGTGAGATGAGACAGTGTGTAATTGAGGACACATGGTCATGGCCAGGACAGCCACTGAGAGAGGATCAGAGCAAGGATGAGATTCGTGAGGGACACCGTGGGTTCACAGTTGTTTATAGTGGAGGTCTGTGTATCTCCTCCACTGGATTCTTGAGGGAGGCAATTATAGACACTGTGCATTGAGGTGCCTCTGTCTTCTGTCCTTCATTTCCAAGAGACCACATCTGTGAAGCTGATCCTAAGTCTGCTTAGCCAGCAGCCTCCTGAGGGCTGTGGTCTGCATAGTATCCCTAGCTCTACCCAGGTGCTCAGCACTGGCTGCAAGAAATGCAGACAGATTGGCACACTGACTATGTGGAAGACAGGATGTAGAAGACAGCACATAAAGTAATTCACATCTTTGAATACCCTTTAGTGAAGCAAAGGGTCTCTCTTTGATGATCTCTTCCTCCTCTTTTGGGAGGAAGGCAGTATTGAAGAGCTGGCCCAGTGTGTCCTTGTCTTGCTGTATTCTTTTGAATGGAAGAAGAGGTGAACCTGAGAGTGTGAGCCCCTCTTACATGACCCAGGGGGCTCCCAAAGTATAAACACAGACAGATCTCTATCTTCTGTCCCAGAGTGTCTTGACCCAGCAGTTGCCTGACCAGAGAGGAAGGAGCCCACTGTACGCTCTTGATTCCTGGGTATGAACTTGGTATACAATGGTCTGTAAGAACAGGCCATTGAGTCCGATATTCCTTAGGGATTAAAGTCTCATTTGCCTGATGCCCATCACGGGGGAACCATGGTCTGTGATATACATCCCCACATGAAGCAATCCAGTTTATTTCACTCCCAGACCCCAAATCCCTTACCAGGAGCCATTCCTAGTTATTTTACACCAGTGTCCCACATATTTATAATTCCTTGTTGGGTTGATCCTATCTCCTGTGGGATGACAGACTCTAAGAAGAGAATTCTGAAATCAGAGAAGCCCAGAAAATCCAGGCAGTTTGTCCCAACAGTTAATTCTAAGAATGAATGTGGGATACAGTCACTTTAGATGGGGAGGGGGTCCCTCTGTGTGGGGCATTCCAGCAGAGAGCTTTGCAATAGAAGGAACCATTCTGGTCAGAAATCCTAGCAGCTGTAACAAGCCTGATTCTGAAGTCCAGTAGCTTCGCATAGCTCTTTGTTCCTGGTTCACCCTAAATCTGGTCAGCTGATGGAGAGCCTCTGCTCAGTAGGTAGTGCTGGTCAGGAGAAGGGCATGTCCCGTGACGTGGGCCAACCTTCAGGAGGCACATGTCTGCTCCTACAACTGCCCACTGTCTGGAACCCAAGGCCCTACTACTTTGCTAAAGAATAAGCAAAGAAGGCAGTGGGCTTTGGTGGTCATGGGTCAGCCTCACACTGGGCAAGGCTGCCTTCCCAAGAAACCAACAGTTCCAGACCCCAATGTGGAAGTGGACTGATAGGGCTGAAGGTGGGTGGGGTAGCCTGCTTGGGGTAGGATGGTCAGGGACCAGCATGGTGGCTGAGGCTGGAGATGGGTGCTACTATATATAATATATAGAACCACATCTGATTTCAAGTTGACAGTGAGGTGCAGAGGAATTTTAGACAGACAAGTGACATAATCTGAAATTCGAATTCTCTGGAGAGCAATGTAAGGCATCAGGAGTAGAGGGAGATCATAGAGGCAGCAGCGTTTTCCAGGCTCTGCCTGCACTTGCCTTTTGAACCCTTCAGTCATACTCCTCTCCTCAAAGCCTTTGCCACTGCTGTGCCCCCTCCCTGCCCAGCATCTCTCCTCCTGAGTTATTCACTCCTCGTGTTTCTGCTCAAGCTGACCTTATCCATAAAGCCTGGCCTGTCTACCGTTCGTAAAGGAACACATATCCCCACCCACCCCCTTCCTCTGTTTTGTTATTCACCATTATGCATAACCATCTGACTGTAGTGATTTTCCTTGGGTTTTAGTTCTTGTCTCTCATCCTACCCCATCTGGGTACTCTGTTGGTTTAGAGACACTCAGGTGTTTGGTGCCATGGCTGAGTGGCTGATGGGAGACCCAGTGAGGTGGGGTAGGATACTTGCTACTTTTCCTATTGCTGTGACCAGATAGCTGACAAGAAGCAACTGAAGAGAGGAAGGGCTTCTTTGAGTTTGTAGTTTTTGAAGGTATAGTTCACACAGTGGGGAATGCGTGGCAGCAGGAGTGTGAGGTGGTGGGTCACATTGCATCCACACGCAGGAAGCAAAGAGTGGACAGGAAGTAGGGGCTGAGCCGTAAAGCCTCAAAGCCCACCCCCAGTGACACACAGCCTCCAGTTCTAACTCCTAAAGGTTTCACAGCCTTCCCAAACAGCAGCCCCAGGTGGGAACCAAGTGTTCAAGCACAAGAGCCAGTGGGGGTCGTCTCACATTCAAACCACAACTGCTGGCAACTCAGGCCTCCCCTGGACTCAACTGATGTGTGAGATGCTAAGGTGGTCAATGGAGGTTTGTGTCCACCTGGGAGCTTTCATTTGGGTGGAGTGGAGATGGGGAGCAGAGGGCAAGGACCCGCCCTGATGTGCTGACATTCGAAGTTCAGGAAGAAAAGGCAGAGCAGCCTGTGGTGTGGGAGGAGACCCATGAGCAGAGGGAATAACTACATGAGAGAGGGAATCAAAACCTGGCCGCATGCCTCTGGGTGGCCTGTCAGAGGCAGTGAAGCTGCAGCATCAAACGCCAGGAGCAAGATGGCGCCTTCCAAACCACTGTCCCCACAGGGATGGGCAGGGCTGGCTCTTCCCTCCCCAGCCCTTTTCTTACATTCCACAGCCTCTGTGGACATTGGAGATGTTGGTTTTGGGTCTGGTTTTCCAAAGGGTGGGCTGAGGGCAAATACTTATTTCCAACCTTAAAAGGTTTTGCAAAAATGTGCAAATGTAGATTTGAGAGGGAGTTCAAAGATGAAGCCAAAGGCAAGAGGGGTAGGCGTGGAGAAATCCCTCCTCTGCGGGTGAAGGGATGGCAGCTGCGAGGAGGCCACATTTCCCACACTCCACACCATCCCACATCTGGAAAGACAGAGGGAGATGATAGAATAATGTGCTAGAAACAAAACAAAAACATGATCAGGTCACTTTGGTTCATGGTCTCTGAAGGAAAAAAACCTACTTTGATTGCAACCTACTTTGATTGCCTACTGGGAATAGTCCAGCAACCTACAGTTAAGTGACTCCCCCTTCCTCAGGCTTCATCCTGAATTGTCATGCTTAAATAGCGTGACTGTGGGCACGATGGTGGCTCTGTGCCTCATTTTCACCATCTTAAAATTGGACTCGTGGCCTTGTTAAGGTAATCAGATAATATGCTTCAGACACCTCCAGAAAACGCTCTCCATACCTACTGTGTGTTGGTGGGTGTGACTAGACACTAGGAATGATTTGAGAACAGTCTAGTCCTAAAGGATCTAGTGCCAAGCAGAACAAGGCAGGGAAGGAACCAGGGGAAAGAAGGCACATTGTTCATGTTGTTCCTCCCTTTTCTTTTTTGTTTGTTTTTGTTTTTGTTTTTTCAGGACAGAGTTTCTCTGTGTCACAGCTCTGGCTGTCCCCAGAATTCAATCTGTAGACCAGGTTGGCCTCAAACTCAGAGATCCACCTGTCTCTGCCTCCTGATTGCTGGGATTAAAGGTGTGTTGCCACCACTGCCTGGCTGTTGTTCCCTTTTCATCTTGTGTTGTTTTCTGTGGCTGTGGCCTCATAGCATAGAACAGATGAGTTATATACTAGACATTCATTTAGCTCACAGTTTGGGTGCATATGCCAGCCCCTACTTGGCACCTTTGGATGGCCGTTTGGCTGGGTCATTTCGTGGTTGGGGGCTGGAGAGGCTTTCACACCTCAGGCCAGAGCAAACCTGATTATTTAGGTCCATCCTTCATCTCCTGTAAAGCCACTCATTCAGTCACTGGGCCCCATTCTCCTCATCCATTGCTAGCTGCCTCCTCAAGGTTCCACCTCCAAACATTAAACCAAAGCTTTGGGATTAAGTCTCAGAGTGAGTTAGGGAGTAGACAGACATCCTGCCCCTTTTCTGGAGGTCCTGATTGGCCAAGCCTTACAAAGCAACCAGAATTGTGTAAGTCATAAAGTAGGCACTGAGAGAGCTTCCTAGAGAAGAAGTACAGGCCATGTGAGCAGGTTCTGAGTAGAACAAGGGAACAGTCCCAAAGCTTGCAGGAAGGCCTGGAGCAGACCCTGCATTCTCAGCAAGATCTGAACTTGAGTCTGTCTCTTAAACTAAAAGCATGACTCTGTAATTTCACCCTATAAACAGCAGGCCGCTCTAAACACAAAGAACCAGCTGGGTAAAGGGTCTTTTGATTTTGAGTTCCACAGTCTTTGGCCTCTCACAGATTAAGAAGAGGGATAATAATGTTTTGGGAGCTCTTGTGGTTGGTTGTTTTTTTAATTCAAGAAGGTACTGAAGTTGACATGCTTCCTCAGATGTTAATGCCTTTTTTGTTGTTGTTGTTTTGTTTTTTTGTAAAGACAGGGCCTCATTCTGTATCCAAACAAGTCATGATCTTCCTGCCTCTGCTACCTAAGATTCCAGGCATGCGCCTCCAGCCTAACTTGTTAGTTGGTAACTTTTAAGAAGTAGGAAGTGGCTCTGTTACTTCGAAACAGCCCACATCCAGGTCAATTAAACAGCTCTGGAAAGACAGTTTGTGAGTTAGAATTCCATCTAGCCTTTGCATCTCCTTGACAGGCTCTGCTCTGACCATCTTCTGCTGGCAGCTGAGGTTGCACCCTCAGCCTGTGTCACGGGTAGATTTTGTTTGGCCTCCAAGCCAGCGCCTGAGTCTAGGGAGTGGCTGGCATGGCCACCTCCTCCCGGGCCAAGCATTTTGTCTCCCAGACAGTTAGTAGCTCCAGCTCAGAAGCTTAGGGGAGTTTGGAGTTTTGGTTTTCTGAGTCTTTTCTTTCTCTTCCATCTTCAATCCAAATCTTTCCCAACCACCCAATAATCCTTTAGAAATCATAGAACTATATTTTAGTGGAACTGGTTCTTCCAATGTCTACAACTTACCACAGCTTTAAGGTCTTCTAACTCATAATGACTTGCAAGAGTTCTACAAAAACCCCTATTAACTGAACAGGGAGCCTTGCCTTGCTCTTTCTTGAGTAGAGTAGCCACTCTTTGATCTGTTTTGAAAAAGTGATCCTATCTTCCTAGACAATTCAAAGAGTAAATTTTCAGAATAAAATGAAAAATCAGGTTAACTCCATCTACTCACGTTCTGATCACCTTTCTTCCTCCTGCCCCGCCCTCATTTGCCCGGAAGAAAAACAGCCTTTGCTCTTGAGTTTCTGATATTGACTATTACATCACTTCTGAGAGGGATGAGGCTGTCTCTGTCTGCCCTGGGAAGTGCTCATACCCCAAAAGTTACTGCTCCCAATTACCTTCTGTTAGTGCAATGTCAGGGAAAGATACAGTAGAGCCTTCTGGTGACTACTGACTGCTCTGCATAGGTTCAGTAACAATCTATTTTGGATGTGTAGGGTATGATCCTCTTGAGAAAGCAGTAGAGGCTGGAGGAGGGGCTGATATATCTACATACCAAGTAATGGCTGTGATAGTGCTGGGCACTGTAATGGTTGACCTGGACCACTCTCAGAGGGGGCAAGTGAATTAAATTGGAGCTTATTTTGTCAGTAACCTCCTCTTTCCCTAGAATTTCCGAGTGTATGGACAGTGAAGCTGAGACGGTCATGCAGCTACGGAATGAGCTGAGAGACAAGGAGATGAAGCTGACAGACATCCGCCTGGAAGCGCTCAGCTCTGCCCACCAGCTGGACCAGCTCCGGGAGGCCATGAACAGGATGCAGGTGAGTAGACAGCTAACAGAGCTCCAGGAAGCTGCAGAGGCAGCCTAGGGGAGAGGGGTACATGTGGGTGTGCTGGTCAGTGCTGCCTCCCCGTTTCTCTCTCCGTCTTCACATTAGACTTGTGTGGCTCCACACTGCCTCCTCCTTCAAAGGTGGTCCCCTCCCCACCTGGCCTTCAAGCCTTCTAGCTGCCCTGTCTAGTCTTAGCTTTTTCTGCTTTCCCTAGCTCCACTTTGCACATACTATTCAAGCAGAGCTGTGATGAGTGACTTTGGGTCCCTATAGTCTGTCTCATGATATTCCTTCCCTGCTGAGTAGCCTCTGTCTATGCAAATGGAACCCCACCTCCAAAGCTCCACCTGGGCCTCATCCCAAACCTCACCATGTCCTGCAGCTGGACCAGCCAGTGGCTTCCTTTGAAGGTGGCTACAAACTGGTTCTTGCAAGCCCCACCTTCAGCTGTGGACTGAGGGCATCTGAGTCTTGTGAGCTGCATTTTGCACCAAGGCTTTGCTTGCATTAAGCTCTTTATGAACAGCTGTAGATTGACAGACTCATACAGAGTATGCTAAAGGTGACCTCTCTGGAGAGCAGCATCCCAAGGAACATGCCCTGGAACTGTGAGAGGCTCTGTGAGAGGAAAGCTACTCTGTAATTAGTGTGCACAGGAAATATGTGCCCTTCTCAGAGGCACAAAGCAAACAGCTCCCTAATGCTCTGAGAAGTCCTGGAGTTGAGAAATATGCCACCCTAAGTTCTCAAACCTCTTTGGTTGCCAGACTCTTTTACACTGGCCACACAGTAGCAGACCCTGGCAAAGGCAATTTCTGAATATCCCTAAAGACCAATTCTCCAGGAAGAGGGGGCCAGACCTGGCAGAGTCTTGAAGAGCAGGGAAGGTGGGGCATGTTGTGGAGTCTCCCCAAGGGTGTGCCTGATTTTGGTTGGCCTAGCTACATGGTTCCTGCAGATTCTTCCTCCAGAAAAGGCACGTTCCATTCATTGCATCCATCAGTTTCTTGCTCATTTTTTGCAGAGTGAAATTGAGAAGCTGAAAGCTGAGAATGACCGACTGAAGTCCGAGTCTCAAGGCAGTGGCTGCAGCCGGGCCCCCTCTCAGGTGTCCATCTCTGCTTCCCCAAGGCAGTCTTTGGGCCTCTCACAACATAGCCTGAACCTCCCAGAGTCCACCAGTCTAGGTGAGTGGCCTGGGGGCAGGTCAAATCCACTAGCCTGGGTAAATGACTAACAGGCTAGGGGCAGGTCAAGTCCACCAGCCTGGGTAAGTGGCTTGTAGGACCAGGAGCAGGCCATGTATCCCAGCCTGAGTGGCTCACAGGCTGGGAACAAGCTGAGTCTATCAGCCTGGCTGAGTGGATCATGGGCCTCTGAGCAAATCTAGCCCACCAGCCTGGGTGAGTGACTCATGGGCCCAGGGCAGATGGAGGCCCGCAGCTGGCACGAGCAGGTCCACAGATCTGATGGTGAGGTAGCAGGTGTGTGTGCACTTGGGGTGTGTGTGTCTGGGTGTGCATCTGCTACCAACATAAGCCCAGCCATTAGAGTATTCCATGCTTTGCTCCAGCACCCTAAATTCTTCAGACCATGAACCTACCACACTGAGTTCTGCTCAATCCATCCTAAGAAATTGTTCTGCGGGCCCCATGCTCGTGTACCCCTCGGGAGCAGATCCTACAGAGGCTTCCAGCCTTCTGGCTCTTGGGGTAGTCTTCAGGCTGGCACATCATCCCAGAATGCACCTTGAGTTTCCTTTGTGAGCATTTCAAGGCTGACGCTTTTATTTTTTACCCATGATGCTGCTGTTGCTGTTGTTTGAGTCTCCCACGCACTTCCATCCGGCAAGATGCCTTGTCAGCCTGCTGGCTCCCTGGTCTTCCCACCATTGGTTTCTGTGATTGCCATTATCCATCCTACCCTCTCCCATCCCCACCCCACCGTCCCTGCACCCTGACACCTGGATTGTCCTGCTGCTGTGCCCACAGGCAGCAGGGGTGTCGGGAAGCAGCTTTGCTGTCCCCACGTGCCTAAGGCTGTTGATGTTTTCCATTCGCAGACATGTTGCTGGATGACACTGGTGAATGCTCGGCTCGGAAGGAAGGAGGCAGGCATGTTAAGATAGTTGTCAGCTTTCAGGAGGCAATGAAGTGGAAGGAGGTTAGTCGGCTCCCTCTCCCTGCTCACCTGTCCTTTCCCCAGGTAGAAATGGCCTAGCTTAGCAACTGCAACCAAAGGTGATGAGAAATACTAACACCTTTCTTGATATCATAGTCTCCCTTACTCACAGGAGGTGCATTCCAAGACCCAGGGGATGCTGAAATCGTAGAGTATACTGGAACCAATATATGCTGTGTTATACTGTACATGAGTATGCATGATGGAGTTCCATGTCTAGATTCTGTAAGAAATTAACAAGGGGAGCTTTGTGATGTAACTCAGTAGCCAAGGGTTTGCTAGTATGTACAAGGCCTAGGTCCCATACCTAGCACCACATTAAAAACAAAAAAAACAAAACAAAACAGAAAGAAAAGGAATTGTAAAGATAAAGTAGAATACTTATGACAATCTTCTGAAAACAGAAAGTGAGACCTCTGTTGGGTGGTGACTCCTGTACCCATAATCTTTGGCAGCCCCTATACCCACAATCCTTGGAGGTTCCTCTTGTACCCACAATCCTCAGCAGTCCCCCTGGCCCACATTCCTTGGTAGCCCTTATCCTCACAATCCTTGGCGGTTCCTCTTGTACCCACAATCCTCAGCAGTCCTTATACCTACAATCCTTAGTGGTCTCTCCTGTACTCACACTCCTATGACACAAAACAAGTGAAGAGCACTTCATTTCTTTGTTTAAAAGATTGGTAAAGCTTGCTTTAAAAAAAAAAAAAAAGGAAAAGAAAAACAATAAAACAGCTTAACATTGTACTTTCAGCACTAGGTAACACTAATGCTCTCAGAAATGGCTTTTCTGGCCCAGTGGTAGTGGCACACACCTAATCCCAGCACTCAGGAGGTAGAGGCAGGTGGATCTCTGTGAGTTCAAGGCCTGCCTGGTCTACATAGCTAGTTCTAGAACAGCCAAGTCTACACAAAGAAACCCTGTCTCGAAAAAAACAGAAAACAAAGAAAGAAATGGCTTTTTCTGAGTTGACTATTTTCCTGAAGTATGTCCCAGGCAGCTTTGAACATTTTATTGATAAGACAGAAGAGGAAGCTAATTGGACTTAGCTGGCCTGGGGCCCAATGCTGTCTCATCGGAGGCTACATCACATCCACCTACCTGAGGGACAGAAGGCCCTCAGCTGAGTCTAGGGAGCACAGGGGGCTCGGAGTAGAGTGGGTAGGGGCATCCGCAATCACTGATGTTAGACGCTGGTAGTTCTCTGGTATGGTTTCTGTTCCCATGTATACCTGCCAGAGACTACTCTGAAGCAGAGATGGAGGGCTGCAAGGTGAGTTATATTTTAGTGGGTAAGTCCTGTTGGGTGTTCTGGATGACCTTGGCCATCCATGAAAGTGGGAAAAGGCCTCATGAGTTTCCACATAGAGACCCCTTGAAGTTTTGAAGTTATATTTCGTAGTATTTCTAGCCAGCATGCTCCGGTTTCAGATAGTTGGGAAACCAAAGTACCCATCAAAGAAAAGTGTCTGCAGCCAGACATTTCGCTGCCAGCTTTGTCACCATGTGGCTGACCTACAGGTGGTTTTAGAGTTGTCTGGCTGGAAAGGAAGCTCAAGAACTCAACTAACAGAGGCCTGGCCTAACAGGTTGAAATTCATTCTCCTGTTATTCTTATAGTGCAGTCAGGTGACATCCCTACATATTGCTGACCCTCCTTGCCATTATTCTCAATATCAGAGCTGACATTCATTTCCCCTAGAGGTGTTGTTCTGGGCCACTGCAGCATACCCAAGTTGCCACTGGCCACAGTGTTATCCCCATTGCGCAGAAACCCAAGGCCACAAGGCTCTGTTGAAGTCAGACCCTTTCTCTCTGTTGACTCTTGACTGCTGCATGCCTGTGCTCGCCACCCAATCCTGCCCCTGTCCTAACTACATCCTCACAAGCATGTGAGATATTAAAAACCCAGCAGAATGGAATGTTTCCTCGGCATCCTTTTCACTAATGTGTTCAGTTAGCCCCTATGGGTGTAGAAGAACAAGAAATGGGGGGGGAGTTGTTGGCAGTCTTCCCAGAATTTTACTAATTTTATGAATTGAGCTTGTTTTAAGTTTTGATGGAAGAAAAGTAATAAATATTGTTTTTAATTATAAAAATCCAGGCTCACACCTTTAATCCAAGCACTTGGGAGGCAGAAGGTGGGAGGTTCTCCAAAAAGAAAAAAGGAAAGAAAGAAAAAATTAGGAACATTCTCTCTGGAGTTCTAACAGCATGACAAACTTTATTAAATAAAACAAGAACCGGTTGAACCTAGGTATGTGTAAGTTGAGAAGGTATCATTGTCCAAGTCTGTCCAGCGTAGCTGCTGAGTCAGGCAGTTGAATCATGGAAGCTTCCTGGAAAAGGTGAGTAGTTCTTTAGCAAGATTTGAAAATGGGGTGCCGGCAGAGGGGAGCTGGGGGAGGGTGCAGTCAAGGATGTCGATGCCATGCCGTGTGCAAAGCAAGCACTCAGCTGATGGTTCCAAGAGCCAGAGAGTCAATCTTAGTCTCCTTGACCCTTTGCAGTTTTACCAGAGCAGAGATGGGGTTTCAGGCTATTGCGTGCCAGCTAAGTTATGCCTGGCGTGGAAAGGAATGGGGTTTGCTCTCTTTTGGAAGCACTGGAATGCCTAGGCATCTGCTCAACCAGGCCAGAAAACAGCTAGCTGCTTCTCACCTGCAAATGTCTCCTCCCCCTTAGGATTCCAGACCACATCTATTCCTTATTGGCTGCATTGGAGTGAGTGGCAAGACAAAATGGGACGTGCTGGATGGGGTGGTTAGACGGCTGTTCAAAGTAAGTGTCTCAAGAGAAAACCACAGCAGTGGGCTTGGAGAGGGAGGAGAGCTTTGTTTCCATAACCCAACTACTTCCTGTTGCTAGGACTTGTCCCCTGGTCCTCCAAGGCCAGCTGGTAAAATCATTTCACAGTGGTGTCCCTAGAACTGTGTCCTTTTCAATATGATTCCAGTCTCTGACCTGGGGAATGAAACCCAGGCAGTATACTTTTGCCCTTTGGGCTGCACATGCATGACCAGCACCCCCTACCAATCCTACAGTCTCTGGCAGAAATATCCCACCAGTAGCCAGCGTTAAAGATGCCAACATAGCCACACCACAGGATGGCGTTTACTATATCAGAAATGGCTAGGGAGTACCAAAGTGAATTTTGGGGCTCAAGATGAATTGAAAGAAGCTTTTGATTTTTTTTTTCTTATGTCCCAAAATAAATCAGCAGCACTAGGTATTAATCATATTTCCTGAGTAGTAATAATACTCTTTACCTCTTATTCTAGAGGCCACACTAAGCCCTTTGTTGTTCCATTTAATGACGGAAAGCAGCCTGGTGCCACCGACTTAGAAGGAGACAAGAGGTCTAGCGCTGTCATCTTGCCAAACCTGACTTAGCTAGCACATTGCTGTCTCTTCTAGCATGTGGGTCAAATGGCTTCTCACAAGAAAAATTCAGTTCTTTCTTTTTTAAAGAATGTGTGTCTGAGTGCTTTGCCTACATCTATGTCTGGTGTCTGGTACCCTCAGAGGCCAGAAGAAGGCATCAGATCCCCTGGAACTGGAGTCACAGATGGTTGTGAGGTGCCTTGTGGGTGCTGAAAACTGAACCTAAATCCCCCAGAAAAGCAGCCAGTGCTGTTAATCACCAAGCCATCTCTCCACCTTCCAAATACAACTTTTTGTTTTTGTTTTGTGAGATAGGGTCTTATATGAAGCCCTGGCTGTTCTGAAACTCACTATGTAGACCAGGCTGACCTCAAACTCACAGAAATCCACCTGCTTCTGCCTCCCAAGTACTGGGACTAGATGCATGTGTTCCTATACCTAGCCTGGATTTAGTCCTTTAGGCTGAATATAAAATTCGCATCATGGTAACCAGACAGGAAGGGCTGGACAGACCAATTCTGCCTCCTCACCAACACCCAACAATCTGAGGTGTGCTTCGATGATATAGGCAATGATGTAGGCTCCCAGGGTCACAGGAAATAAGGGAGTGAGACCACTGAGGGCCTGTGGCTAAAACTGGCATCAGCTATTCTGTGCTACCATACAGCACATAACATAGCATCACTGACCCTCTGGTTACTGAATTAGCCATTTTTCTTTTCCTGACCAGAGCGTCTAGGGATGAGGAGATGGCTCAGTCAGGAAGCAGCTTGATTTGTAAGCCTGAGGGCCTGAGTTTACTCCTTAGAACCTATATGGAAAAGATGAGTACAGTGATATGTGCTTGTAATCCCAGTTCTGTGGTGGCAGAGATAGTGGGTCCCTAGGGCTCTGTGGCAGCCAGCCTAGTTTACTTGGCAAGCTCCAGGCCTGTGAGAGACCTTGTCTAAAAAACAAGGTAGAGGGTGCCTGAATGATGACCCCAGAGGTTATCCTCTGTACACACACACACACACACACATACACACACACACACAGCTATGCCTACATGTACACGTGTGCACATACAAGTGACTTAAGGAAAGAAGGGTTTTTGTTGTTGTTGTTGTTGTTGTTGTTGTTTTTCTTCTCACCATTTAAGAATAGATACAGCCCATTGCAGCAATGAAGGCATGGGATCAAGAATTTGAGGTCCTTTGACATCCACCGTCAGAAGCAGCACCAAGTGATGCTACTGGCTCATATTGTCGTTTTTTTATTCAGTCTCAGACCCCAACCAATAGAATAGTCCTGTCCACTTTTAGGTTAGGTTTTATCACATCAATTAACCTAATGCTTTAGTGGTTTGTCTCCAGGTGACTACCATCACAGTCACCACCCAAGGGTGGTGAATGAATCCCATGTTTTCCTTTTTGAAGTTGCACAGCTGTTCTTACCCAGCAGCAGCAGGCTGTGCTCTGTCTTTGCTTTGAGCAAACGTGGAGGGTGGGAAGAAATTTCCTGCCGGCTACTTTTTATGAATTGTTTAGCGCCATCCATAGACCCTGATGCCTTTGAGATTCCAGCCAATTTAGGAAAAGCTGCCTGGCTTTCCATGCTTGGTTCACCCAAATTAAGCCTTCATGGTCTTGCTTTTCCCCAATCCCTAAGTAAATAAATCTGTCTGTTAAGAGACCTGGGATTCCACAGTTTAATTTCACTTCAGGTGTCATCTGAGAAAAAGAGGACACCGTCAATCACCCAGTGAAAATGGGAGTCCCAGCAGGTTTTAGCCAGCTCTCTGATGTGGACCATGCTTTATTTCTCCAGGAATACATCGTTCATGTGGACCCAGTGAGTCAGCTGGGGCTGAATTCAGACAGTGTTCTTGGCTACAGCATCGGTGAGATCAAGCGCAGCAACACCTCAGAGACCCCTGAGCTCCTCCCTTGTGGCTATCTGGTGGGAGAGAACACCACCATCTTGGTGACTGTCAAAGGTAATGACTAGCTGGGCAGTGGTGGCACACGCCTTTAATCCTAGCACTCAGGAGGCAGAGGGAGGGGGATCTCTGAGTTCAAAGCCAGCCTGGGTCTACAGAGTGAGTTTCAGGGCAGGCAGGGCTACATAGAGAAACCTTGTCTTGGGGGGAAAAGGCTAGGTGGCTGCTTGCAGAAGCTGGGGTTTCCAGGGGCCAAAGTATGTCTGTTTTCACTGTGCATGTGGGTGGTTTTTTTTTTTTTTTTTTTTTTTTTTTTTTTTTTTTTCTTCCTCTTTTGCCTCAACCACTCCTACTTCATTGCACCATCAGGAAACAAATCACTTCAGTTTATTGCTGAAATTAGACATCAAAAGGTCCCATTAGCCTTATGACTGAGATGATGAGAGACTAATAACTCCTTAATAACTCTGTTGAAATGGCACTTTACCGAAACAAAACAACGAAGGGTGCTTGCCAGCAAGCCTTGGGCATGAGCCCATTCCACAGATGGAGAAACTATGACGTACTAGAGGTTATAGGAAGGTTGCTGCAAGCATCTTGATGATATCACTCTTGCCCACATAAGCAGCTCCTGGAGCTTTGGAAGCCCCAGCTCCTGGATGTGTTAAGTCCTGGGTATCATGTGTCCAAGCCTTCCATTCCTTGTCCCTGTAGACTCATGATGATCTCATAATGCAAAAATGCTTTCAGTATGATTTCAAAGAGCCCTATAGCTTTTAATACTTCTAAGACTTTTTAAAAATCCCAAGTCTGAGTCTCATCCGAGATGCAAGGCAAACTGTGAGTTACTATTAAAAGTAAAACCAAGTTATATACTTCAAATATGCAATGGCATAGTATTCGCATTCCCATTCTGGAATGGAGTGTGGGTTATAGCAAGGGATGTTTGGATCAAAGAAAGACGGAAACTTAGCCAGTTAAAGCATTAATCCCTCAGCTACATGTCAAGTATCTTGGGCTTGTGATGGAATCAGATGGCCTCCAAGGGCTTGGGTAGCCCTGGCCCCCAGTTTTCCTGCCTTAGCACCCATCGTCTCTCTTGAATCCGCTCCATTCCATGCCTGAAGCTTTCATCGGTGGGTATCTCATGATCCTGGTCTCTCCAGCATCCTGGGGTCCCCATTGCAGCTTAAGCTTCCCCTCCACAACTTCATGCAGTAGCTTCCCAGGGATTCTCCTTGCAGAGATTCTGACCCTGTCAATCTTTGACTAGCCTCAGCAGCTCTCTAGTGCCATAAAGCAAAATTTCATGCCCTCATCAATCTTACATCTTGCATGCCTGCAAAACTGGTACAAAGTGGACAATGTTGACAAGTTCTGCTGCCAGCTTGGGATGGACCCTTTCCCTTTGAACTTCAGCTTTAATGACTTCTTGGTGTCTGAATTTGCAGAATTACTTTCCCAGGCAGTTTTGTGAGCAGGGAAGCCCTTCTCCAGGTCCTTTCCCATGTGGTAAACAGGTTTCTCTTTAACACTTACAGGGTCCTTTTCAGTATGCACTTTGACTTCACCTTTTAACTTACACAAGCTCTTTCTTCCAAACAAACTGCATGCTCGTATCTTCTTGCCCCACCTGTTGTGTTTCACTGTAGACCTGGATAAGAGCAGTAACCATGCTATAACCCAAGTGCTCTCCTACCTTGAAATTACCTCTACCAAACACATTAGTCCATGTCTTAGTTAGGGTTTCTGTTACTGTGAAGAGACACCATGACCACAGCAACTCTTACAAAGGAGACATTTAATTAATGCTGGCTTATAGTTTTCAGAGGTTTAGTTCATTATCATTATGTAGGAAGCATGGAGATATGCAGGCAGATGGTGCTGGAGAGGTAGCTAAGAGTTCTACATCCTGATCCTCGAGCAGCAGGAAGAGAGAGGGACACTGGGCCTGGCATGAACACCTGAAACCTTAAAACTCACCCCTAGTGACACATTTCCTGCAACAAGACTACACCTATTCCAACAAGGCCACACTCCTAATAGCATTAGTCCCTGTGAGCCTGTGGGTACCATTTTCATTCAAACCACCACAATGGGCCTAGCTTGAGTTTCTGAAACCTCAAAACCCACTTCCAGTTACACACTTCCTTTAACAAGACCACACCTACTCCAACAAGTATATACCTTCTAAGTGCCACTCCCTATGAGCCTAGTTTTCATTCAAACTACCACAGTCTGTCTTTTGTCCCCTCCTCTACATAGCTGTAATCTCTACATAGCCCTGGCTATCCTAGAACTCCCTATGTAGACCAAGCTGGCCTCAAACTCACAGAGATGCTCCTGCCTCTGCCTCCTGAGTGCCAGAATAAAAACACTCCTGTAGTCCATCACTTTTATATCAAGTTTTCAGGATGTGGGCAGAAGGCAGCCAGAGTCTTTGCCAGAACAAAGCAAGAATGACCTCTTGACTTCCTGATGGAGTCATGCCCTATCCCCCACCACAAAACATCATGAGCCATGCTTTCACTATCCACATTTCTCTACTTTTTCTGATTTTTTAGATCCCTACTGGAATAGCTCATTAATATCTGCTTACTGCTTTCTTGTCTTTTTCTATCCTGAATCTCCAAGCACTTCCACACTCCTCCTGCAAACCAGTTCATGAGGCCTGAGCAACAAGTGTTAAGGTTATCATGCCAATGGCCCTACTTCTCAATACCAATTTTCTGTGTTAGTTACTTTTCTAGTTGCTGTGATAAACTATCTGCCAAAGGCAACAAAAGGAAGGAGGCATGTATACTGACAATGGTTTGATGGGATATAGTCCACAATAGTGAGGAAGTCATAATCCCACAGTCCACTGGCAGATGAAGAGATAAGTAAACTCTGACAGAAAGAATCTGCCACAGGAGAAGCAGGATGAGTCACCAGCATGCAGCAACAAGAACTGTGTAACAGGAGTCCCCACGGAACTGAGCCATATACAACTGGGTCTCAGAGTACATGGTACCATGGGGCCACACATTGTCACCTTCTTGTTTCACAGTGAGTGCTACAAGCACCAAGGAGTAAAGTTGACCTGTGTGGAATGAGTGACAAGATGCCCACCCCTATGGGAGAGTGGTACTCCATAGAGCCTGGCCTGTGGCTGCATCATTTTTAACATTTACAAGCATCAGCTTGGGTTTTGTATTACACTGATGAGCGCTAAAACCTATTGGAGTTTGCCAGAAGAGCCCCACTTGGTATAGCAGTTAACTCTGGTGATTCTAGAAGAAGGGGTGACTTTGTGTGTGTTTATTTTGTCTTAATGGTATGTGTGCTTGATGTGTATGTTGAGGGTATGCACACGACAGACTGCCTGTGCAGGGTGGAGGACAACTTTTGGGAGTTGGATCTCTTTCTTCTCCACCATGTAAGAAGTCGAAGGGATTGGACCAAGAAAGAATCTCAGGGTTGGTGGCAAGTGCCTTTACATGCTGAGCCATTTTGTTGGCCCCTTGAATTTGCATATTCTGAAGTAAGTTCTCTGAAAACTTTATAGCACAACAGCTACATACATGCAAAGTGTTCTGGACATTGTCCCCCTGTGGTTTTTATTGGTGAGGCTGTTGTTGTTATTAAATTTAGGCAAGAATCCCTCCACTCTACACTTAGCTTGTAGATTTGAGCCAGTATAGGGCAGCAGGAAGCTCACAGACCTGCCCCCAGAATTTAAGACACCTGAGGATCTTTTGTCGTGGTCTTTTGGGAACAGTCATTACTTGTAAGGGTTACCTTGGTTAGGAGAGGACTAGAAACAAACCCATAAATGTTTTAGGGGTGTCTTGTTGCACTGAGTGGGAGGAAGGTGCTGTTGAGTGACAGAGGCGCCTCCTGGTTTATTTCTTTGCTTATACAGACTGGCTTTCTTGAAGGGAGTGTTTCAATGGAATTACCATATACCTCAATTTTTTTAAAGACAGGGACTCATACTTAGTATTTACCAAGTATTCTAGGCTGGTTGGCCAGTAAGCCCTAGGAATCCTGTCTCCACTTCCCTAGCACTGGTATTACAAGTGCATGACACCATGACCCTCTAGTTTTATGTAGGTTTTGGGGCTTGAACTCAGGTCCCCAAGCATTCAAGGGAAGCCCTTTGTGTAGTCATACTTTTTGGTTGAGGCTTTCAGCTCCCTGTTAATGACACAGAGAGTTAGTATTAATTATAAAAACTTAGCAGATAGCTTAGGCTTATTTCTAACTAGCTCTTATAACTTAAATTAACCCATATCTTTTAATCTACATTCTTTTACGTGGCTGGGTTACCTTTACTTTGTAATGCCCATGCTGCTTGTTCTGTATCCCTGCTGCTGTCTCCTCCCTTCTTTTTCCCAGCATCCTCTGTGCCTGGAAATCCTACCTATTGGCTGTTCAGCTTTTTATTAAACTAACCAGAGTGACACATCTTCACAGTGTACAAAAAGATTATTTCACAACACCTTTGTTGTCTGAGCTGTCTCCTTGACCCTGAGACCATTCTTTTAAAGCCAACAACTCTGGCTATTGAGGCTGTAGAGAAGCTTCCATTTGCCACTGTTTCTGGTCAGAGTCTCAGCATGTAGCATATAAGTCTCGGCCTGCTGGTATGTATTCTATTTCTAACATCTGGGTTTCACCTTGCTTCCTGTCTTGCTTTCTTGGCACACTTAAGTGTGGGCGGCAGCATGGTGCTGGGCAAGAAGGAGAGAGAAGTAAGGGGAAGAGGCAACCCAGGGTCATGGCAGACATAGTTTCAACTGGGATAGACACTATAGGGCTAGTAACTGCCATCAGGCAGAGTCCAGAGTTAGGGGAGCAAAAAAACAAAAGGTGCTGGTGACCAGAAGGGTGGCTTTCTGCAGTAGTAGCAACACCAGCAGCAGCGTTGGGCTCTCAGCCTCCAGAGTGCCTGGGTGGGCAGGAATCATAGGACTGCCCAGAAGGATGATGTCAGAGCTACCCTCCTTGCCCAACTTCAGGCCCTCACCATCTCTCTCCAACAGGGCTCACGGAAAACAGCCTGGACTCTCTGGTCTTTGAATCCCTGATCCCCAAACCCATCCTGCAACGCTACGTTTCCCTGCTGACGGAACACCGGCGCATCATCCTCTCGGGCCCCAGCGGCACTGGGAAAACCTACCTGGCCAACCGGCTCTCGGAGTATGTGGTACTTCGGGAAGGACGGGAGCTAACAGATGGCGTCATTGCCACCTTTAATGTGGATCACAAGTCCAGCAAGGTGAGGAGGTCGTCCTGAGCCTTCTGCACCTTGGGCTCTTTAGATGCTGCTGACACCACCACTACGAGCATGCTCACACTCCATTCTAGAAAGCCAGGAGAGGAGCTCAGAATGGGGCTTACAGGAAGGAGTGCTGTGGGTCAGAGCCTCCCCGCCAGGAGCTCCATCTGGATCAAGTCAGTCCTGTCCATTTAGTCTCAGTGGTGGCTCCTTCAGATATGTCCAGTTCATCGGGAACTTACCATGTGCCTGCTGGGTGTTGTTATTTTTTCCCCAAGTAAAACCTTTTTTTGAGTCCACAATAGCATCAATAACAACAATCATGGTGGCTGTCATTGATGGATTGTCTGTCCCATGAGCAGCAGATTGTGCTCACAAAGCCCTTCAAAGACTAGCTGTCTTTGTCTCCATCTTATAGGACTGACAATAGCAACTGGAAGGACATTTGTCACATGCCTAACACAGCTCCGACCATACTAAGTGTTGGTACTGGGGCTCAGGTTGTGGTCATTCTTTCATTTATTCATCCTCCATCATACAGTGAAAGCATGTGATTTCCAGCTCTGTTCAGTGTTGTACAGCACCCCTGGTATTGCAGTGTCCTTCATTTGTTCCTTCATTCATTCATTCATTCATTCATCTTCCATCATACAGTGAAAGCTCGTGGTTTCTAGTCTGTTCAATGTCGTACAGCACCCCTGGTGAATTGGAAAGGGCTCCTCTGCCTTACCATTCTCTTCATGCCCTGAGAGGCTTAGATCTCATGCCTCACTTATCTGTCTGCCCCGTTTACCAGTTCCCCTTGTAGTTTTGATGTAGGGAACGGGATGAGGAAAGCTCTCATCTCTCTGTCTATGGCTTATGAGTGGGCGGATGAAGGAAAGCCACATGGTGAGTAGCTGGCAAATTGTGCCCAAGTTGATCCCATTTCCCTGGGCAGACTGCTGGTGTAGATAGAGCATGGCTGGGCCATGCACTGCAGGCCTAGGTAAGGAGGGTGGGGGTTCCATATGAGAAGGAACCAGGAGATCTGCCCGTGCTGGGCAGTGGCTGAGAGAATGAGGAAAGCCCCGATTTCCATGAGCCAGCTACATTTTTACTCAAAAGGGAGGCCTGGAGAGGGGTGCACATGCAGGAGGTAGAGGATCCATCGGCCACTGAGCAGCTAGGCCAGCCTCTAAGATAGGTGGTTCTCACAGACACCCGAGTCTGATCTAGCCTATTGCTTACCCCTGGTGCAGTCTCAGGCTGGTTGCTCTTTCCCTCAGCTTCTGTAAAAAAGAGCTAATCACAGCCTATCCATTACAGAGTTACCACTCTGCCTAAGTCCCCATGTGTGTCTTGAGTATGTCCAGCTTACAGTATGAGGCTGATGTCATCAGATGCTCCTTAGAAGTTCTGGAAAGCTACCTCCCCTGCTACACCATCCTCTCTATCTTTTCTTGAGGTGTAGCCCTAACCCAGGCACATTGGGCTGTGTTCCATTCTCCAGCCTGGACAACACTCAAGGTTCTGTTGCAGCAAGCTCTAAACAGGTCTCTGGGTACATAGACTCACCTGCCCCTGCACATTCTCCTGTCTTCAGAGCACTGCCTAGCAGCACTTGTATGTGGTCAGGACCTCTCCTGTTCTGATGGCTTCTGCAAAGCTAATTCTCAGGAGGGTGCTTTGGAGATAGCTAGAGATAAGTCATCTGCCTTCAGAAACCTAATAGCAAGAAATAATGGTTTCCTAAAGAAATGGTTGAGTGGGAATTAAAGACTGGTCCTCTAGGCTGGGATGATGGCTGAGTCAGTAAAATACTTGCAAAGAACCTGAGGTGGACCCCCAGAATCCACTCTTTAAAAAAAGCTGATATGATGGCACGCTTATAATCCAAGCACTGGAGAGGTAGAGACAGGCAGATGCCTTGGGTTCAGCGGCCAGCCATCCCAGCCTACTCTCTCTGAGAGAGAGAGAGAGAGAGAGAGAGAGAGAGAAAGAGAGAGAGAGACCCTGTGTCAAAACACAAGGGGGATGGTACCTGAGGAACAGCACACAAGTTTGTCTTCTGCCTTGCACACACAGGTACATACATGCAGAGGCATGCATATGCATATGTGCACATTCACAAAGGGGAAAAAGAGGGCCTTGGGCATGCATTTTACAAGTGGCAGGAGGCAGAATACAGGCCTTACCTGTCGATGCCCAAGATATCCCTCAAGCACCATGCTGCAAGGCTCATGTCGTGTCCACAGTGTGACATCATAAGGGGACCTTCCTCCTGCCTTGGCCTTGGTCAGTGAAGGCCTGGGGCATGTAGCTCTTCCCCGGAAGGGTGATTCCAAGCTCATTGTCCTGGCCTCCATAGGAACTTCGCCAGTATCTGTCCAACCTGGCTGACCAGTGCAACAGCGAGAACAATGCCGTGGATATGCCACTTGTCATCATCCTGGACAACCTGCACCACGTGAGCTCTCTGGGAGAGATCTTCAACGGGCTGCTTAACTGCAAATACCATAAATGGTAAAGATGGGTCCTAGACATTAGAGGCGGGGTGTGGGGTGGGGTGGGGTGGGTGGGGCATGCTGGTGAAGTAGCGCATACACAGTCAGAACCGGGGCGATAGGCAGCTGTCCTTGGGTCCCAAAGCCCCTGCTCTCCAGCTCACCCCTAATTTGGCTTCTCTCATTGTGCTCCCTGCAGTCCTTACATCATCGGCACGATGAATCAGGCTACCTCGTCCACTCCCAACCTGCAGCTTCATCATAACTTCAGGTAAGGCCTCCCACCCTTCCCCCATCCAGGCAGATGGAGAGTACAGAGAGAGAAAGAAGGGAGGGTGGGTGCTCAGCCCTCTCAGAGTGCCTGCTGTGTGCTGGACTTTGTGTTTAAATCTCACAGCAGCCTTATGAAGTTCTATTTACCTTTGTGTTTTCAACGAACAACAGGGGCTCGAGGAACTCAGAGACTTGTGAGCCATACACCAGTTAGAAACGAAGCCCAAACCCTGATCCTTGTGACTCTCGGTCACTGGGCAGTATCAGGAAGGCAGCTGTGACCATACGTGCCTGTCTCTGTTCAGCATAAACAGTGACAGCCCCTCCCTTGAGATGTCCCCATGTCTCAAGGTCTGTGGACCTTCCAGTTCTGACTGCTGTGAATCCGTAGTGGCTGGTCTTGCCTCCAAGGATAGTCCAGCTCCATGCAAGATGGTGATGATGCTTGCCCTGGCATCACTCAGCACCCCTGCACCCTGCCCTCATCTCTGCTTGTGTCTCTAGGTGGGGGGGGGGGGCTGGAGGGGGCTAGACTTCATCTCCTGAGCCTTGTTCCTGAACACATTTTCACTGGCCACCATGCAGGCCTCTGTCTAAGATGTCTGAAATGCGATGGTGTTCACCTTCCATTCCCACACACTTTGGTTTGGGGGCTTGCCATGCCATGTTGGGTGTCCTTGTGGTTGAAAGGCATTCCTTGACTCCCCCAGGTGGGTGCTTTGTGCCAACCACACGGAGCCTGTGAAGGGTTTCCTTGGCCGCTTCCTGAGGAGGAAGCTCATGGAGACGGAGATCAGTGGGCGGGTGCGCAACATGGAACTTGTGAAAATCATCAACTGGATCCCCAAAGTCTGGCATCACCTCAACCGCTTCCTGGAGGCCCACAGCTCCTCGGATGTCACCATCGGTAGGTGGGAGGCCAGGCAGGCTGTGGCAGGCTGCTGGGCGGATGGAGTGGGTAGTGGTCTCCCAAGAGCCTTGGCTCCCTCATGCACTGCCCTCTGGGTCCTGGCCAGGACAGCACTCAGCAGATAGGTCATGCTGACCCCAGAGATTTCAAAAAAAGGAGAGGGGACAGAGTGACACCTGGAGACAAAGATGAACCCAGGCCACGGTATCTGTGGAGATATGTCCTGGCCAGGCTGTGTCCTACAAAAGAGCCCCTCCCCGGAGCTACAGGCTGAACTGCCCACTGAGATGGCTTTGTTTTTAAATGGAAAGTGTTCCCAGATTTGCAGAGGGTTAGGGATTAAAATCCAGCAAAAGACCAGGACTTCCTGGTCCCAACATTATCTCCGTTTGGGTTTACTTCTCCCAGCCATGTCTGCACAGCCATGTCTTCGGAAGCTGTGGTCACGGTGTACATATGTATATATGCAATGCCTGTTTTACATCATACAATATCTCCTGAGCATTCTGTGCCAGTACTCAGTTTAAAAGTTACTTTTTAGACCTGCAAAATAATCGCAGTCATTTACTTAGCCATGTCTTCTGGCCCATCTTTAAAAATCAAGATCAATACCTCTACTGAGAACACCTTCTCTGCAAGCCTTTTCCTCTCTTTCATTGAGGGTTGGGGTGAGAGGGTTGGAGTATCCCCTTCGGAGCCCACCACCCAGCTGCTAGTACCAGCTGCAAGCCATCAGCCACTGCTTACAAAGTCCATTATCCCTCCAATGAGGATGCTTAGGCCAGGGGTCTCCTGAAACCACCCCTACCCATCTCAATTGTGATGTGTTTCACTGTGGTCCCCAGGTCCCCGGCTCTTCCTGTCATGTCCCATCGATGTGGATGGTTCTAGAGTGTGGTTCACTGACCTGTGGAACTATTCCATCATTCCCTACCTCCTGGAAGCTGTCAGAGAAGGACTTCAGGTGAGAAACACACTCCTTTTGGCTTCCTCAAACTTGAGTGCCCTGTACCCTGTGTGGTCTTCAGTGTGGCACATGATGAAAATGACTATCTTCTGTTCTGCCAGCCCCAAATAACATGGAGATTTTTTTATTAAATACGAAATCCCAGCAGTACATTTTCACACAGTATACAAATATCCCACAACAGACAGCAGCTGGCCGTCCATATTTTTGTTTTTGTGGTGGTGTCCCCCCCCCCCCCCCCGCCCCCAGGCAAAGTATTTCACCTGTCTCTGCCTTATTGAGCAAGGAGATAACAGCACTGCTCTACCACAAAGAGTTGTACAATTAAATAAAACCATGGCCATCAAGTCTCCATTAACTTACAAGGAAACTGTGGTAGGTAGCCAGGGAACAAAGGTACTGATTGAGTTTAGTTGGGTTTTTTGGTTGTCTTAAGAACAGTGCCTCACATAATCCAAGCTGGCTGGTCTTGAACTTCTGATCTTCCTGCCTCAACCTCCTGCAGGCAGGGATTGTAGACATGTGTTACCACACTTGGCAGTGTTTTTGTTTTGTTTGTTTTGTTGTTGTTTGATACAGGGTTTCTCTATGCAGACCAGCTTGGGTTCGAACTCAGAGATCCACCTGCCTCTGCCTCCCAAGTACTGGGATTAAAGGTATGGACTACTATGCCCAGTTTAATGTTAGTTTTTAAATGGCAGAGTTCTACATATAATTTCTCGTGATAAGAGGATTCCTTTATTTTAAAACAATAATTTCAGTGACAGTGCACATCTTTACTCCCAACACTCAGGAGGCAGAGACAGGAGGATCTCTTGTGAGTTCAAGGCCAGCCTGGTCCACAGAGCGAGTTCCAGGACAGCCAGAGCTACAAAGAGAAACTCTGACCTGAAACAACCAAAAACAAACAAAAAACTCATTTCAATTTCCCTCTCCAGTGGTTTTCTCTGAAGACAAGCTCAGTGTGTGCCAGGTACTGTTTGGGGTCCCTGGCTCCTCACCTCACCCTGCACAGTGGCTGTGAGGGGAGCATACTGAAGTTTAGAGCATGTGTGCCCTTCCTTGGCCAAGGCCATAATCCAAGATGCCATGCAGACCTGAGAATGGGACTGTCACATGTTATGAACCAGGAAGAGGACTGCCCTTGGGGAAGTCCTGCTGAGACCAGGCTTACACATCAGACTCAGGCAATCCATGCCTGGGGGAACACTGCAGCGCCCTCTAGTGCATACCATGCTGTTTGGCATGTTCAAGCTGTAGTATCTTTTCTGGAATGTTTGTGTACATGTTTGTGTCTCGTGTGTGTGTGTGTGTGTGTGTGTGTGTGTGTGTGTGTGTACATAAATGTCTAGAAATATTTCCTAAATATTAATGTTGGTGCTGCCATGCACATCCGGGAGCCCCTTGCTTCCCATAGGGCCAGGAGTCCTACAGCAGCCCAAATCTTAGTTTCCAGTGTCTTGGCTTCTTTTGTCCCATCGCCCATAATTCTCACTGATCCAGTAGGGTAACATCCACCTCCCCTGAGGAAAGCAAATGTTTACCTGCCCATCTGTTCCTCCGCTGCCCTCCAGGGTCTGCAGAAAAGCCATGAAGCTGCACAACACTTCCTTTGCTTGTGTCTGACTGACTCATGGCCACCTGGCCTTGACCATGTCCGGGGGAATGTAGGAAGACTTGTAAAAATGTATTCTCTTCTTACAGCTAAGGCTTGCTGTCGCTACATACACTTACCTTATGACTCAGTTCACAGTCCCATTCCCCTTTGTCATCAGAAACACTTGCCAAAGTGTCTAGTGTCTATAGAGTGGAGCAATTCGGAAGACCTGGCCTTGGGGTGGACGGGTGCTGGAAAGGATAGGAGCAGTATTAAGACACTCAGGGACTTTCATCAATCACCAAGGTCCTCTGACACCCTGGGAAGTCTCCCATGCCAGCTGTGGCTCTCCCATCTGCAAATGGAAAATTTTGAAACTGTCCGTGGTATTGGGGCTAAGGATGAAGAGCAAATGGGTTCAAACCACTAGGCCTCAAGAGGGCTAAGCACTTGCTGAGCCACAGCCTCAGTGCTTCCTTGAGGGTGGCAATCTTGATACTTCAGAGGGAGAGGAGGGATCTGAGTTAATTCCTTCAGCTGTAAGATCCCAGCTGCTTCTGTGTTCTCTTCAGTCCTGACCCATAAATGGGTTCATACATGCCTCTTCCCTGATTCCTTCCTGCTCAGACTGAAGTGTTTTCAGGCTGCTGAACTGAATTCAAGGACAAAGACTTGCATCGCCCCAGAGGAAAGCACCTGTAGCAACAAACTAGGCTAGAGGCTAGACATGGGCGTGGGAGACAGGGAGCCAGCATCTATGTCATAGGAGGTGCTGGGGTCAAGTGAAGAAGGAAGCCACTACTACAGAGAGATGGGCTTGTCCAAGGTGTGTGGAGGGTGGCATCCTGGATAGAATTCCAGTTCTAAGACCTGGAGTAACTCAGGTGACACAGGGAGAAGACACCCACCAGAAAGAATGGGGAACCTTGGTCAGGCTGAAGTCTGGCGAACAGGCTGCTCTCAGGCTCCAGGTCTGACTGTGTCACGTGGTTTCTGATGATTCAGAGGGGTTCCATGGTGAGGTGAGAGAGGTAGACCCAGAGAAGTCAGCTTGAGTCTCAGGAATCCAGCTCTGCCTTCCAACATGGCTGTTAGGTTCTGGTTTCCCATCTGGTAAGAGGGAGCACCAGTTAAGTAGTCTGGCTCCATCTGGCTGAGAGCCTGTGGTTCTATTGGGCCAGAGCTGGACCCAGTTATATTCTAGTCTCAGTACCTTTTTGCCTCTCCTTTTCCACTGCAGCTTTCTAGACAGTGGAAGGAGCATACACACACAGGGGGTAGGGTCTGGAATTTTCCATCTATGTACCCCAAAGCCATTGTAGAAATAACTTTTTATAGCCTAGACAGCCCTGCCCTGCCCTGCCCTGTCTGTGAACATGCCCTATCGTGTCTGCTTTGAGCCCAGTGGCCAGTGCATAGCAGACTTGATTTGCAATGGCTCTTCTCCTTCCCAGGACTGCCCCCATCTATAAGCCATAGGAGCGATACTTCTGTTAGAGTCAACACACTGCTCACTCCTCGGCACCCAAGCCTGGCATTCAAAGGAAGTAGCCACACTAGACCTAGCAGCATAGTGGTCAGAGCCTCACTGTGTGTGGGAAGTGACCCAGCCAAGGTTTCAGTTCTTTAAAGAACGTGTATCTTTTACAAAGCTCTCAGGAATAGCCATTTAAAAGTTGCAGGGTCGGGGCCTCAAGGCTTGAGAAAAGAAACTTCGAAGTAGGACATGTTGGCCTTATGAAGCTCCATGACTTTTGGTCACTTATGACTAAGTCACGATATAGTTTGCTCCTGGGGGAATAAACTACTATTGTGGACAGGTCTGAGAACTCCTAAGCCAGCAAAGGCCTCATCACTTTTGTCTACACACAGTGTCCTCTCTTAGTGCTATGCTTAAAAAGGGACCAGCCTGCCTGCAGAAGCACTCTGAGAGTCAGGCACACTTGAAAAACTGGGAGTTCAGGGACTGGGGAGATGATTCAGTGGTTCAAGTTCTTGTTACAGAGCAGCAAGGAAGGGGACCAGAGCTGAGATCCCCAGAATCTGTATAAATTCCCAGTGGATGTGCTGTCCCATCTGTACCTCCACGCTTAGAATGCAAAAATGGGATCGTCAGAGCAAGCGGACAGCTAGACTAGCGGAACTATGCAGCTCTGGGCTCAGCTGAGTGGCTGCCTCAATGACTAATGTGTGTAAAGTACTGAGGAGACTCCCAACATTGACCTGGGTACTCCACAAGCACACTCTTTCATGCATGTGTGAATGTGGACACATGTGCGTACGCACAGGCACACACACACACACACACACACACACACACACACACACACGGAAACTGGCAAAGCTTCCCTTCACACTTCCATTTCCCGTGCAGGAGGCTGCTTATCAAGTTTAGCCCTCAAGGCTAAGAGGCAAACGCTATGCACAATGGGTTGGCAGCAGAGAATGAGCTGAGGTTAGTCAGACAGTAGGTCCTAACATCACAGGCTATCTTTATCTTAGATGACTTTCTTAGTTCAGAGTGCTACATGAGGCTTAATGTTTGTTTGAGAGAATTCCCATCAAGCTACAAAACTGGGACAAGTAGTCTCAGCCCGCCTCTCAACTATGCCCTCTGCCTGTTTACAGCTCTATGGAAGGCGTGCCCCCTGGGAAGACCCCGCCAAGTGGGTAATGGACACCTACCCATGGGCTGCCAGCCCACAGCAGCATGAGTGGCCTCCCCTCCTGCAGCTACGGCCTGAGGATGTGGGCTTTGATGGCTACTCCCTGCCTAGGGAGGGGTCAACGAGCAAGCAGGTGCCGCCCAGTGACGCTGAAGGAGACCCACTGGTGAGTCAGTGAGTGAAAGCCATGGACTGGATGTGAGGCAAAGCTCTCTGGATATAGGGAACTGACAAAACCTTGCTGTGGAAGGCTGCACTCACCCCACTAGTGTGGATGGTTTTCTCTGGCCTTTTCTTCCATAGGGTTAGTTTTCCACTAAAGCCTTTAACTTCTCTTAAGGTTTTTCTTGTATAAGGTTAAAGTTAGATGATCTTTTTTTTTCTCCCCTTTGAGTGTCCTTAACACATGTTCTCTGCCAACTGTTTATCCTCTGATTTACATGTCAACATGTATTGTCATATAGAACAACAGGAAGAGGAAGATGTGCTCAGGACCTGTCACCAAAGCTAGACAATGAGAGGTTTCGAGAGGTTTGGGAGACAAGGGCAGAGGACATGACAGTCCCAACCCAGGTCCTCTGACTAGAGAGATGGGACTGAGCCAAGGCACAAGAGAACTTCCAAACAAATAAAAAATAAATAAAGGAAGGGAGAGGGAGGGAGGGAGGGAGGAGAGACCGACTTTGGGTAGCAATGATAAATCCCCAATCAATTCTATAATTCTCTTCCAATACAAGACCCATGCATACTCATGATGCCAAGTTATACCTCACTCATCAAAAAGCCAGAGAATGAGGACGTAAATGTGCCCATGTCTCCACAGGCAAATGATGAACCTGCCCAAAGCCCAGCCCCAGCTTCTGTGGCAGCTACAACCGAAGTACAGCAAAGAGCACTGCTACATTACTCAATGGAAGAGAGTACTCTTAAGAAAGGGCAGCAGTAAGGCAGGAAGGGTTGGAAGGCAGCCAGACTGCTTGTTCTAGCCCTGGTGGTAAGCCGGTGTAATAAATACATGCCAGCAGGTGATCTGGCGTGACAGAGTCCTGCCAGTAAGTGCTACGGCAGCAGCAGTATTGAGGCTATGAATAGGAGCTGGGTAGAAGGATTCAATGCTGCTATCCTGTCCATGGCCTGAAGGAAACACTGAAGGAGCAGACATTTCTCAAGGCCAAGGTCATGTGGGGTCTTACTGAGGTCAGCAAGCTCATTGTGTCATGTAAAAGCCCTTCATCCTGAAACAGTTGGATGAAATCTGGAAGGTGCACAGTCCTCTCAGAACAAGCCATGCCCCTGAAAGGGTGATGCTGGCACAAGCACCACTACCAAGTCAGATGCCTGCTGTATCTCCTGCCCTTAGATGAATCCTTCCTGAGCGCTGGACCGACAAGATTTTATCTCAGAACCATACACTGTGGTATTGGGGATGTTAATAAGTGAATAACTATCCCTGCTGCTGAGGACTGTGTTGCAGCCCTACCTCTCCTTGGTTCTGGCGCTTCAGAAAGAGAGCAACTGATGGTGCTATCCCCGCTTCCCCAGGGAGATTCTGCCCAGTGCCTGCAGGGGCATCTGGTTTCATATTCTGCTAGCACAGCGTTCTCCTTAGCCTAGAGAGGCCCTTCCTCCTGCTTATTCAGTTTTGGTTGTCCCTCTTTATTCCCAAACAAACGGCCAGTACAGAACACAGGCCAGGGGGAGGTTAGGAACCAAGGCTCTCTTTCCACATTGAGGTAAAGGTGACAGGCAACAGCTTGCCCTGCTAAAGCTTGCTCTGTAGCAGGTGGCCTGTTTCTGAGTGCTCAGCACACTCTGACCTTTGATTCTCAAGAGGTAAACCCTGGGTCCGATCCATTCATGGGACATGGGAGGCTTAGATGCTTTGGGATTTGACGTGGTGTAGACCTCTGCAAGCTGTTTGTCTTGAGGCTTTGTTCCTGGAAAAATGTGCCTGCCTTCCTGAAGGCTGTGGCGGTGGCTGAGGTTCCTGTGCCTTGGAGTTCAAGGCTGCCCGGGTTCCACAAGCAGCAGCTGTGGGATGACATCTGTAGGGCTTTCCACTTTACTCATTGTGCAGTGCATGTATTAACTCAGTCTGCATGCCAGCATGATGGGGCAGGACGTATTCATACTTATATTTAACCAGCAAGGACATGACACAGCAAAGGACTAATGAAGCCTCTCTAGGTCATGCATCTAGGGGAAGCTGGGTTCAAATATTGTACTCTATGCTCTTATCCTCAGCCTCTCATGTGAGCTATTACCCTGGGGCAAGTCTGGAGCAGATGGCAGGGGCTCCAAAGAGGCCAGGGTGGGCTTCCCAGCAAACCGACAGGCGTTCCCACCTCTCTGCTTTCTCCATAGATGAACATGTTAATGAGGCTGCAGGAGGCAGCCAACTACTCCAGCCCCCAGAGCTATGACAGTGACTCCAATAGCAACAGCCACCATGACGACATCCTGGACTCGTCGCTGGAATCCACTCTGTGACTGAGGTCCCCCACTACTCCTCTCCCCATCCCACCTGCATCCTCCACTTTATTCTGAAGATGACTTCCTGAGCCAGCCCTAGCTGCCACAGCCTCAAAGCCAGAGCAGAGTGGCAGCAATAGGAGACCCTCATCCCTTGCACTCTGCCCTCTTCCTCCCACAGTGACAACTGTACTAGCCCTCTGTCCTACTCTCATGGTTGTTCTGCCTTGTTGATGTGACCTCCATGAGACACTGAAGATACTTCACGGGAAAGGATCCTCACCGTCGAAATATAAAGAGATTAAATGGGAATTTTAAAAGTAAGATTCCACTTGGTGCCCTGAAACCTAGCAGCATCCCCCTATAAGCCAACCCCAGGCAGAAAAGACTAAACCCAACTTGGAAACACAGACAGCAGGGCTTCCCTTAACATAGACCCACCAGTTTGGGTCTGACCACCAGCACCCGAGAGCCATGCCACCCACCCTCCATGGAAAATTGGTGCTAATGAGCCACCCAGGGACACCAATACATCATAGTCTCTGTTTTCCACATGGTGCTTCCTTCCCGAGAGGTATTTTGTCTGTTCCAATACACCCCTCCCCCTTTTCAGCGCACCAGCCCCAATGATCAGAGAGAGCAAGTGAAGAGGTGAGAATGTGAGTGAGCGGATGGGGCTAGCAACACAGAAAAGCGCGCCCGTTTCCTTCGTCTGTCTAAATGGTCAGGTTTCTGTCCGCAAACACTGTGTACTGTGCGAGTAGTTCTTTGGAGAACTATTGACCCCTGCCTGTGTCTGCCTTTCTACCTGGTTGATTGTGAAGGTCCCCCACCCCCACCAGAACCAGTCCTATGGTGAAAGCAAGAGCTGGAAAGTGGTTGAGTCTGGCTCCTCCTCAGCTTGGCTTTTCAGTGTCCATCATCACGGTTCTGTGCCCTCGCCATCTCCTATGGGGCTGTGGGCATCTGTATCCTTGCAGATGGATGAGGACCAGTTCTCCTCTGTGGGTGAGCCACAGACCTTGCCTTTCCTTCTCGCCTCCGAGAACCCCACTTCATCACCTCAGTCACCCCAGACCCCAGCTGCAGGAGCTGGTGATGTATGTCCGCTCATCAAACACTGGCACTTTGCTCAGAACCAACGTGACACAGCTTAGCCAGGGAGGGGCAGCCACTCTTCCCAGAAGCCTGGCCCTGCCTCTGTCCTGATGAGCCTTGCCTGACCTCTTTGGTGCTGATCCCCCATGCAATGCCTTACTGGTTTTGTACTGACCGCGTCCGTTCACATGAGTGTTGTGCCTGCCTGGGGTTGTGTGTGAGTGTGTTCCCCATCGAAGTAAACAGGGCTATGAGTCACCTGTTCATACAGAGAACACGAGTTGCTGACTTCTCATCCGAAAGATTCATCTGTGTGGATGTATGATTGTGGGAAAAAAATACAGAGAGAGAGAGAGAGAGAGAGAGAGAGAGAGAGAGAGAGATCCATTCTTTTTAGGTTCCTGTCAGTCTCCAGCCAACAACCTCACTGGACAGTGACCCCACAGGTTCATGCGACATTGCAAATCCCTTCTCTAGGAGACATAGCCCGGTGTGCCATGGCTTCAGCACTCTGGTGTCCTCCTTACCAGGTATGGACACCATCGAGCTCTTTGTGTTTCAGAGTCTTTCCTGGCTCCGGTGAGGATGTCTCTGTTAACAATCAGGGTTCCTAGTCCACCTTTCGCTATTCTATTGTGTGTTTGTCCTTTTTTTTGTTTTTTAATTTTTATTTTCTTACCCTAAGAGCTTGACCCAAAACTGCTCACTTTGCTTGGAATGGCACTGTTTTTCTTCCTCACTGAGAGGAACTAGAGTGTGTCCTATTAACTGGTAAATAGCAACATTTCCACTCCCTGCTGTAACCCCAGACTCAATCTCCACTGCCCATGTGGTGTGAGTGTGTCTTCTGTTGTTTTGTTTGTAATAAGACTTTTAAACCATGTGTCTAGCCTGTGACCAGGGCCAAACCCTGAGCCTTCCAGTGTCCCTGAAGGGTAGCCCTTTTCAGTCTATCTCCCAGCAATGACCGTACACTCTCATACTGTGAATTTGGGAGGTTTTGAAATCCAGTCCCTCCTCCTGCGTAGTTTTCTCAGTCATCTTAGGAGTACACCCTGCCAATGTTTGGAGCTGTTGTCTCGCCATTCCCAATGCCCAGACTCCCCCCTCTCCCCCATCCAGGTTCACAACAGAAACCTGTGTACCTGCTGCTGCCTGACAGGTGGGCAGTGACATAGTTACATAGCCCTTGAGTGCCTCCCGGCTCAGCCACCTTCCTAAAGCGATGCGAAGAGGGGCTGTCCAGAAGGCACATTTCCTACTATGTCATGATTTTTCTTTCCTGTTGCTCAACCTTGGATAAAGTGACTTTGTACTCATTTAGGGCTCTGTCTAAATGCTTCCAATTTTGCCTTTTTCTATAGATAGGCTAACTTTGAAATGTAAAAAATCCTATGCAACACTGATGCTGAGGTACCAGTAGGAGCCAAAAGTTTTCTTCCCAAGAGGCCGTCAATGAGGCGAGAAGTCCTTTTAATTTAAGGTTGGGGTGGGGTGGGAGTGTGACAAGGGCAAGACTTGCCCAGATCTTCCTCTGAACTTGGGGACATTTTAAATTTGATTGTTTAAAATGCTCGACTTTAAAATTCTGTGTGCCCAAATTTGACCATGGCAAATCTATTCCAAAAGCAAAATAGTCCAACTGTGCAGCTGTTGAAGGGAGGTTTGCTGTCTTGACCTGCTTGCTTCAGGCTGACCCATTTATGGAACATGTTCTATAGGATGTACATTTTTTTTTTCATTGTAACATAGAAATTGTAAATAATCAATGAAACTGCTGCATTTTGATGACTTTTTTCTAGCCATTTTTAAAGAGAAAACTAGGAATTGAGTATTTTGTGTACGGTATGTTTCCACCCCACCCCGCCCTCCCTCCCTATTTAATTTTCATTTGTCATGAGGTTTTTGGGTTTGAGAACAATCCGCTGGAGATCTGCCCCATGTCATAGAAAATAAAGCTGATGATTGTATCACTCTTAAATTATTCATGATTCAATAAAGTTAATGCTTATTTATTCAGATCCGTGGTCTGGCTTTTGTGTGTTGGTAGAGACCTGTCTGGCGTTAAGCGCATGCCAGGAGGACATCATTCTTCCCCAAAGGCAATGAACCTGAGGAACCCAAACCTGTTTCATATCACCTTTGATGGGAATTCATCAGTTGCCACCTCTCTCTGTTTCTCATGGAAGTTACCACCATTCACTGGAGATTTTAGAGACACAGCCACAACTCTGCCAACCTTTGGGAGCCGGTGGACCATGTAGAAATGCTGTTTTTGCACATCTTCCATGACCATCCAGACTCTCCTAATCTTTGTTGTCGTTCAAGATTATATGAATTTTGTCTTTTTTTTTTTTTTTTTTTTTTTTTTTTTTTTTTTTTTTTTGAGATGCATCCCAGGCTGGTTTCAAATTCACTATTCAGCTAGGGTAACCTTGAACCTCTAATACTGCTGCCTTTGTCCTGCTGAGTGCCACAGTTATGTATGCACTATCATGCCTGATCCTGTGTGGAACCCAGAGCTCCCTATATGCTGCGCAGACACTCTGACCTGCTGAGCCCCAGCTGCAAGTTTATGGTTTTTCCATTGTTCATTCTTGACAGGCAGGCATGGTGTGACGGTTGCAGGCGTGGATACAGAGATGAAACCAGGGCCTTTCTCCTCTCCTCACACACTGCTGTGACTTCACTATGCCAAGAAATGCCAGTACTTACTAAGTAACTGTCATCCAACCTCCGTCTAGCTCCTTTCTGTAGCACCTCTCAGTCTCTCGTAATCACTACTCTCTGCTATATGTGAGATCATACATTATATACCCGAAACATCTCAAAAATCTTCCGGTTCCATTTCTGTGGCCACAAACGATGGGATGTCACTCTTCTGTTTAGACAGGGTCTCACTGTCCTCGGGCTGGCCTAGAACTTACTGTGTAACCCAGGTTGGCATTGAACACACAGAGATCTGCCCGCCTCTTATGTTAAAGGTGTATACCACCGCATCCAACCATTTTACTCTTTTTTTTAGTGACTAAATAACATTCGGCTGTCTATACACAAATTGTCCTCATCCACTCACCTCTCAGCTACATTTTAGCCACCTCCAGAGTTTAGCTGCTGAGAATGTCAGATGACGTGTACTACACATATATCTCTGATAGGTTGATTTCATTTCCTTTGGACATAAACCCAGTAGCAGGCTTGCTGGATCCTATAGTCAGTTTGCATTTCATGACTTTTTTTTATTTTATATATGTGTTTTATATATTTTATATATGTGTGTTTGCCTGCACCACATGCATGCAGTACCACCAGAGTCCAGAAGAGGGTGTCAGATCCCCTAGAATTGGTGTTACAGACAGTGAGTCACCATGTGGCTGCTGAGAATGACACCCAGGTCCTCTTCAAGAGTAGCAAGTACTGGCTCGGTGTGGTAGCACATGCCCTAATCCCAGCTGGGGCAGTTGTAGGGGGTGGGGCAGAGGCTGTCCCTGATCTCTGAGTTCAAGGCCAGCCTGGTCTACATAGAGAGTTCTAGGACAACCAGTGCTCTGTAGATAGACCCTGTCAGACCCTATCTCAAGAAACTGGGGTTGGGGGGGGGATAAAAAGCAATTGCTCTTAGCTACTGAGCCATGTCTCCAGTCCCTGTTTAAATGTTTTGAGAAACCTCTATACATTCCCATCAGCACTGTATCAACTCCCTTTTCCACATCTCCACCAGCTTTTAATTGTTTTTGTCCTTTTGATAGTATCTATTCTGGCTAGGATGTTTGTAACCAGCATCCTGGATGATGCTAGAGCTCGGCTCCCTGGACCACACTCTTAGTAGCAGATATCCAGTGCCCATGCACCATCTGTAGCAAAATTTTACAGATGAACTTGAGGCAAAAATATCAAATTCTTAGATATAAATACAACGCAAGATGGACAGGGTTTTTTTGTATTTGTTTTTTTTTTTTTAAGTTCTCTTAGCTGGGCGGTGATGGTGGTGCACACCTTCAGTCCCAGCACTCAGGTGGCAGAGGCAGGTGGATCTCTGGGTTCATGGCCAGCCTTGTCTACAAAATGAGTTCCAAGACAACCAGGGCTACATAGAGAAACCCTGTCTTGAAAAACAAAAACAAAACAAATGAGCAAATAGCTTGAAGGACTAGAAGATTAGAATAGATAAATCCAAACAAACCCAACATATGTTCCCTTTATTATGTGGAGTTGTAAATAACATCAATAACTCAGGACCAGAGAAGAAAAAAGATAGGGCAAAGTACAATTCCAATAATGGCCACCAGTTCCCATTGTGAAGCTTGAAACTGGCTTTCCTCCCTTCCTCCTCCTCCTCCTCCTCCTCCTCCTCTTCCTCCTCCTCCTCTTCCTCCTCCTCTTCTCCCCCCTCTTCCTCTTCTTTTCCTTCCTCCTCTTCCTCCCCTTCCTCCTCCTCCTCCTTTTTGGTTTTCCAAGACAGAGTTTCTCTGTGAAACAGTCCTGGCTCTCCTGGAACTCACTCTGAAGACCAGGCTGACCCGGAACTCATAGAGCTCCACCTGCCTCTGCCTGCCAAGTGCTGGGACTAAAGGCGTGCGCCAGCACCGCCAGACTGTTATCTTTGAACAGTCAAATGTGATTTAGACAACTTCATGCCACTCCCTTAAACCTCAACTCTCTCACCCACTGTGGGTGCCACAAATATGGCAGAGCTAGCCACATCTGTGTCACAGCCTTGAAGACCCCACACCCTCCCTCAGTTTTGCTTGTCCCCTTGCCCTCTATAGTCTCTGTAGGTATCCCAGGATAGAGCTTCATGGCCTCTAAGAACAAAACCGGGTCTCTGCAGTTTGGCTTGCCAGGCAAGGCAGGGCGAGGGCAGAGGGCAATGCACAAGTTTGCTTACCAGCCCCTGCACTTCGTGCCTTTAAAGGCACCAGTCTCCTCCCACCATCTTTCCCTGGTGTTTCTAACAAGAGCCCACTGGCCTAGGCAGGATCCCAGCCCACAGCCCAGGGATGAACTATGTTCTGGGAGAGACAGGCAGGGTGGTAAGCTTGTAGTCAGGAGACCGGGGGGTGGGGGTAGTGTTTAATTCCAGCCCAGCCTGGGATGTGTAGAAACCATGTGGCAAAACAAACAGAAAACCAACGCAAATGTGCTGGAAAATGGCCTAGCTCTTCCAGACCTGGTATTCTGAGACTGCCGATTAGGTACTGCCCTGTCTACTGCCTCACAGTGACCAGCAGAGGGCAGCAAAGCCCAAACAAAGTTAATCCCATCAGCAATTGCTCTCTGCACATTTCCTCCCTATTCTCAAATTCTGTCCTCCCTCTCTAAGTGACTCTCCTCCCCCTCTGAGTCTCTCCATGCCCCCCACCCCGCCTCTCTTCTCTTTCCTCTCTCCCTGCTCTGTCCACGTGTCTCTCCTTCCTCTGTGGCCCATATCCCCGCCTCAGGGAATGAAGCCACGTTTAAAGAGGAGAAGAACTAATGGGCCCTGGGCATCTGAAGCCATGACACTACCTTCAGTGGCTGCAGAAAGGAGAGGTTGATATGGCCTCTGGGGTGAGTAGAGGAAGGACTTTGGCTAGGTGTCCCCAGTCAGGGATAGAGAAGGATTTGTTCCTAGGGTGGTCTATTTCCAAAGCCCCAGTCTGACCCCTAGGCCAAATATATCGTCCAACAGTAGCTGTCACCTAAGCACTCACTGCCAAGGCCCTAGTGACATTAATAATTGGCCCTGAAGTTGAGCCTGGGGGCATCATTACACTTAAAGAGGGGAAAATTATATCCAAGTAGTTCCTGAGGCAGAACAAGCCCCCAGTGTCCTGAGGACCAGTGGGGACAGTGTACAGGCTGTGGAGTTGCAGACACCCAAATTTGTGGTTTTCGGGCTGAGTCTCTAGCAGACAAGGCTGCTCCATGAGCCTCAGCTGGCTCTTCAGAAGCAGTCTCCCACAGCAGATGCTGTAAGCAACTGCACACAGACAGTGTCCCTCTTCCTGTGGCCTCTATTTTGTGCAGGAGTCCACCCTTCCTAGTGGTCATCCTGGACCTAGTTCTGTCTTCTTGGCATTTTCCTGAAAGTGGAGCAGAGAGACTGGAATGGAAGGGTGTCTTACTCACTCACACTGAGTTACTGATATTGGCCACAGGATCACAGCCTCCCTCTGGACTTCCAGTGAAAGAACATCCTCCTTGAAGTCCACCTGAGCAGAGCAGGTCCTCCACCTGAGTGAGATGTCACCGTGGAGACATCTTGAAAGTTGCTGATGGCAATACCCAGTGGGAAGCAAGCACAGGGTCAATGGGAGCCATTTTAGGATTCTTCTGTTATACAGAGAGGCCACAGCCAGCCACTGGGGCTTAAATCCTAGGTCGACCTGTGGGAGTATGGGTAAGTCACTTAACATTCCAGAGGCACACTGCACACTGTAAAGATGAAGGTGCCAGTAATAGGACTGTTTCTTAGAAGTCTGGCCAGGGTTAAAAGGCAAGATGTATGACTCCCTGAAAATAGTATGTGCTGCATGCCACACTTGCAAGTGTTAGCTGTGATCATGAGCTTTCCTGTATTTAAAGGGGGCTGAGGATGTGAGCTTACATAGCTGACATGAAGCTTGGATTTGATCCCCACCACCCATAAACAGGGCATGTGGTCCATACTCTAATTGTAGGACTTAGGAAGTAGAGGCCGGAGGATCAGAAGTCATTGTTGGCCCAATAGCGAGTTTGAGACCGGCATGGGGTACATGAGAACCTGTTCACAAACAAAATAAAAATGTCACCAAGATTTTCCAGGCTGGAATGCACATCTGGCCACTTGCTTTACAATGAAGTCATTTCTGAATGCGTGAGTTCTCCACAAGACACTACTGTCAAGTTGGCTGTGGCCTTCAGAAACTCATTCCATGCCTTGGGGTCAGGAAGGTTAGAGTGAAATATTGGCAGCCTGAGGTGAGAACTCTTTTTCGACTGGCCTCCTACTACATCCTTGTTCTATGTGAGTCCTGGGCCTGCCTGTTGGCCAGCAGAA